GCGATTGTTTATCGTTGCGTACAAATATAAATTACTATACATATTATCCTCCTTTCCAACTTCTCTCCTAAAACAAGCGGCACACGTGTAGTAATTCAAAAATAAGGCGGGGGGTGCCTAGTTATGTAAATTTGATTCACACGTATAAGTTAACTATAAATTTGATTACCTTTCTTCTTCAGGCGGCAAATTGATCTGTTGAATTTGATATAGGTGACCGTAGTAAATAAAAAGATTTCAATATAATAACTGTTTCTATTTTATTAATTTTTTAAATNTGTGTGTGTGCGTGTGTAAATGTATTATCTTAATTTGGTTAATACTAACAACTTAATCTAATAATTAATGGCTACAAATTATTATAATTATTTTACAATATTGATTATATAGTTTATTTTAATTATATATGATAGCTTAAGTATTATCTCCTTACGATGAGTAAATATCGCACTAAAATATATGTTATTTGATAAGAAAAAAGAATAGCATCAGATGTAAATGTTTAACTATAATTTCCGTTGTTAATTGTTTGATTTATTTCTTATATAATATTTTATTTTACATAATGTATGATAGCTTAAATAGCATATCATTACACACGCACCAAAAATATCAGCATTTTTTTTTTTGTTTTCTACTCGACATAAAATTGAAATAGCCTTGTGATATACTATAATATGGACCATACATGTATCATCACAACTATTTTTAATATTAATATAATATAACAATATTATAATACAAAAATCGATAATGTTCATTTTTGCATAATGTTCCGATAGTTTTCAAACAAAAAATTTGTTCATTGATTTTCTTTTTTTTTTTTTTTACGGCGAATAGGCGGTAATCGTCACAAGGAAAATCCAGAATTTAATTTTAATTTTTGGTTTGCGATAAGATAACCGTTTTTTTTTTTTGGAGATACTTTTTGTGACGTTTTTATAATGTGCTTACATTTAAACGAATCTAAGAAGTTCTACAAGCCCCAAACGGCCCGAATCCCGTGAATTTAATAAAATAATAAAACAAATACCCGACATTACTCGCAGACGTGAATTTTTTAGATTTTAGATTTCATCAAGTGCTAATGTTTGAAATTATATACGAATCTGAAAATCGTATCTTATTAAGAAAGACACGATTATTGTTCTGTTTCGAGAAAATTTGAAATCTGTTCATAGATATTGTATAGTTATCGGTTATAATTTTGTATCGTTCAAAACGCGTCAACGCGATGACGATGTAATATTTTCGTTGCAATTGATTCAATTTTTTTTCCTCGAATAGTCCGCCGGATACCTGTAACAGATAGACAACAAGACAACTGTAAACTGCAGTTGTTATAGACGAAGCTAATCCGACAACTTTATCGATAATTAACCCGCCAACTGCGCCCCTTAACGCCTTATTCTTTATCGCGGAACGAAACATGAAACATTAAAAAAAAAAAAAAATAAATAAAAATACATATAAAAAAACTCGTAGGTAATCCGATAAGCCGTTAAAAACCTACGCCATCACGCCATTACAATATTATGCAGTGCTTATATATTATGGAGGCACCTATTTATCAGTAGGTATCCATCAACGCCTCTAAATAATTATTTTAAATTGTCTTAATGCATAGTATTTCCATCTGATAATATGTACATTGTACACCCGTCACCCATATATTTTTATCGTTCGGCTTAACACGAAGGATAGTTTAAAATAATAGTATACGTTTTATAATAATATCGTTTCAAATAGATTCCGTTTAAGAAAAATACACGCCTCACAAACAACGCACGTTTTGTTTCATGTACAATAATATACCTATGGTACATATTGGAGAATATTAGTTAAAAATCATCAAATATTATAATTTACTATTTTATATTATTCTATTTATTTTATTGTTACACTTTTGAGTGTTGTAACCTTTAAAAAAAAAATTGTTTTTATAGTTTCTGAGCTAAGCGCAGAAAGCATTATTGGTTTAGCTATGATGTATTTTTATTGTTATTTGCAAACAACTTTTCTACCAGAATTCACGTTTCGATTAAACATTTTGTAGCACGTAATTTTTTGATTGTAATTTTACTTTCCTTTATAAATGTGGAAAAAACCGGATGATTTTTTGTATCATTTTTGTTAATTTCTGGGTTACCGAGGTAAAACGGGGAAGAAAACGACTAATACTAATTTGTTCAGAATCGTTATTCGTTAGTAATAGTTTATCGTTGCATACAGATATAAATCAAATCACTCTATGTATCCTTTTTTCCAACTTCCCTCCTAGAACAGTGGCATGCCCATCGGCCCAAACAGCCAGTATAGGATTTTTTTCCGAGACGTTGTTACTGAGAGTAATACAGGTATATAGTTATATATACCTATAATTTGATTATTTTTACGTTCGTTGTACGAGAGGTTTTTTTTAGTTTTATACCTTTATCGCACTTGTTTAATTGATATTGTGAAATTGTCCTCAACATTCAAATAAGGGCGCTCATGAGGTAATTTTCCGGTCAAACTGGCACCAGGTTACCAAACACGCATTTAAAGACCGACGTATAAACATTTAAATTGATATAAGAACAAAATAGACCTGTATTAATGTTATAAGCGTACAATAAGTCTATTTACAAGAGCCGAGTTATTTAATTATCATCAGTTATCACCCATGCCGACTATACGTCATGGTTCAAGAAAAAAAAATTGACTCCGGGTTGTAATATTTTCCAGGGAGGTCATTTCTCCTCATGAATCAAAATATACCTGAACTTATTCTTTACATTTTTTTTATATAGGATACATTTTGTTTTTTTTTTTTATAAATATATATATATTTATAATTTTGTTTAATTCTATGTAACATAGTTATTTAAGTATTTATTTGTATTTAAACGTGTTTAATGGGGTTCGACGGTCTCTTTTTCTCGGTGTCTTCTTTATATGTTTTTTTTTATTCCTAAATAAGCACGTCTACAACTGTCGTGTATTATAATATTAAGTATCAGTTTAATACTTTTGTCTCCTTATCCAGCTGCACACGCACTACACGTAATTTATGTAATATTCATTATATTTAAAATTGAATACTTCCTATACATATATAAGTAACCGTATATTCGTTTTTATTTTTTGTCCAATATAGGTGCATCCTGCGCGTATGCAATGGTATGCATATGAAGTAAATTAACATAAAACGACGAGTATATCAGCAATAACTATTTTAATTAAACGATTATTATCGTAACACTATAATAATAAAGATAGGCACTTAATAATAATGTAATCGTTAAACTACTAGAATAATAATACACGATTTACAATAATATTATAATGCGACTATGATACACACTGTCGTAATGTAATACAATGTCATTTAAATTGCAACACGCGTGTTTCTATACACGTTATAATAATATATTATAATAGCAGCCGCATCAGTGACTTGAATGCACTTATCTCATAACATAATACGGCCATCATTCGCTATTGCGCCTAGTTCGATTATTTCTGTACTTATTTTTTACGTTTACAGAATATACTTATACAAATTTTGAAACGTCAATAGTTTACCGCGATTATGTATTATATGCTTACATGTTTCCCTGGTCCTCTACACGTACACTTAAACGGAAAAAAAATTCTAAAAAATATACGCCACCGCGTATCACTGACTAATAAAAATGTCTTGTACTAGTGTATTTAGTTGTCATCGGGTTGAAAATCCATCGCGCGTTTTCTTTTTTCACTTTCGTCCCGCCCATCGGTAACTCTTAATTTCGCCTTCCACGTATCCTATGAGTTAATTCGTCAACACCCCTACACTCGTCTGTGCATTATGTATATACACGATACTCTATCCGCACAGCCCTTAACCACTTTCAGGATCAGAATATCGTACTATATCATTTGAAAAAATCCCGTATAAAATATTGCCTAAGAAAATAAAATAAAATAAAATTGCGTAGGTTGTATTATATTTTTTGTTTTGCTTATCAAGCGTTTGTTTGTTTTGTTTTTTCCAAAGAACTTGCAATACAGCGCAGAAATTGAAATGCCGTGTATTTTTCCGGGTCGACGCGTTTTATTTTTTTCGATAGATACCGGATTTTCGGTGAACGAAAAGATCGATCGCGGCGCATCACGCCCACGACGAACGGCCCTGATCACACGATATCGGTTTACCCGTAGACATTGAGAATGAGGCGTTCCGCACAAAACCGCAAATTTAAAGCGCACCAAGGTGACCGTAATGGTATAACACTGTGAATCAATTCGGTTACTTTCGTTATCTTTCGTTTTTAAAAATATCATGATAGTATATCATCGTGATAAGCGAGAAGAGTCCGTGACACGTTGTGCGAAATCAGAAAAACCGTGTAAAAAAATAATACAATTTCTCGTAGGAATCAGTAGAAATAATTTTTGTATTGTAATTGAAAAAAAAAAAAAAACCGATAACGCCGAAACGGCTGTAACCAGAAACGCGCGGTAACTATCCGGGGCGCTTGAGCTGCCGACAGCCGACCCCGTGGGTTGTTGTTACCGTGTCCTATCCTTACCCGCGTTGCCTACGGGTTCGTCCCGGTCGGCCCGGACCGAGCGCGGCAGTAAATTGTTTATAATAATAAATTGTCAACGGGCCGAGCGGCGAGTCGGAATATCGCAGCAGGTGCGATCGGCGCGGGACTACGCACGAAAACCCGTCGCATGTATCGATAGTTGGCGCCGCCGCGGTCGGTGCGCGGCGATGGTCGAAGAATCATCCCGGTCCGCGGCGGCGGCGGCGGCTGCGGCTGCGGAGGTCGTCGGGCGGTCGCCCCGACGAGGTTCTTGTCGGGCGGCCGCGCGCGCGCCCGCAGTCTGTCGTCTGTGCCCGGCCGCCGCGGTTCGCGCTCGTCAGTCTGCCCGTACCGTGTTCCCGCGTTGCGCGCGCGCCGTTCGTCGACACGTCGGTCTTTGGTGTTTTGTTTTCGCCTCCACCCCCCCTCCCCCACCCCCATCCACTCTCGCCGCCGCCCCGTAATATCGTTTTCTTTCCGGCGATAATATCGCGCGTGCGACTTAACCCGTATATTGTTAACCCGCGCGCCACGCGTTGCCCGACGCGAAATATCACCGCAGTGCGCTCGGCGATGACACGGCCGTCGGTGGGACGTGCGCAACGGCATCCGCGGCTCTCGGCCGCGCCGCCGATAAGCCAACGGTAATATTGTAATCGGTTGTTGACAGTTACCGTCGGTATCGTTTTTTCCCCCGCGCCCGGCCGGGTCGTCGGCGTTCCGGACTCGCGACCGAACCCCGGAAGTGCGAAGTGACGTGCGTCGTCGCTGCGGAGCGGCGGCAATATCGTTGTAAAATAATCGGATAATGGCGACGCGGCGGACCGCGACCGCCGTCCGTTGAAACCGCAGCCGCCGCCGCCGCCGCCTTCGCCGAGGCTATCGCCGCGAACAGCCGTCGCCCGGGTGTGATGGCAAGCGTGGGCCATTCCAAGGTGTTTATACTAGACAAATACTTCACGGAGCTACAGAAGTTCTGGGAGACCGAGATCAAGTTGCAAGGTACGCTTACATCGCGTGTACGCGCGCCTAAAAACGTCGACTGCGTGTCGGTTACAGGTTTAGAAAGAATGTTCTCCCGAAACTGGAGACATTTCGGTTTCCGTTCGTTGTTTCCTATCGATCGGCGGTCTATTTTAATAATATACGGCCGCTGTGTATGAAAATCTGCTGAGTAGTTAGTGGCGGATCAAACTGTTTTTTTTTTATTTGGGGGGGGGGTCGGTCGTATTTATCGCGTAGGGTCATTAACGGGAGGCGGTCAAGAGACGCAATCATGAGGCGTAATCGATACAAATAAAAATGTGAACGTCGGTACGAGTATTGGCCATTTGCCACCTATCCCCCTCCCCATCCCCCGATACATTTTTTCGTGCGTCTTTGCCCGGAGTAAACACCAGGCCTTATAGACTAATGGGATGCATTGACACGGTGGGCATATGTGGGCCGGTGTTCTACATGCGTGTAATAAAATCGATTTACGAATAATACTGAAAAATATCGTCTGTACAGATCGGATAGACTTTTAATTTATTGATCGGCCGGACCGTCCGGTTCGCCCGTCGTTCGAAATTCCTTAAAATATCTTACGGCCTCTGTCGCGACAGGTACGCGTAGCCGCATAGAGGGGCAAGATAGTTGAAAAAAAGTATCTAGATACAAGATACTAGATACGTTCATATTTACTTCTACATAAAAGATACAAGATACATTCCATGTTTCCCAAAAGATACTAAATACTAGATACTGTTTTTCCTCCCTTTTAGATACAAGATTCAAGATACTAGATATTAAATACTGTATCTAACATACAGGACACATTTATAATAAGAAACTTATAGTATGTCATAGTACTTATACTACGATGATAGGTTTTAACTTTGTTTTCAACGAAATAAAAAATAAAAACGTATTACACATAATACTGTGAAAAAAAATACTCAACAAAATACGAAAATCAGAATATATAATATCAAAAATGTCATATAATCCCAAAAAATGTAACCGTTGTAATGTAATTATTGTAAATTGAAAAAATAAACAAATCGTAATTTGTAACTAGTATCTAGAATATTTACAAAAAAAAAAAGATACAAGATACAAATGTATCTAAGATACGTATTAGAGATACCAGTATCACAGATACTGCCCATCCTTACGTATAGGTACACCTTTTGTACATTTTTTTTTTTTTAATTTCACATACATATTATTATAAATATTACAATGCGCCGGCCGGCGGTTTTATTAACCGCGATTATTGCGTCGTCGAGAAAGTGTCGCGGTCGGTTTTTTTTGTCCGGGACGAAAACTCCGCGCAGGTCAATCTGTCCGTCGCTCTCGCCGTTCGCGGAGCGACTTTTTTAACGGCGCAATTTATCGCGCCGGACACGGCCGCCGTCGCCGCGGCAATAACAACGCGTAATAAAAAAATAAAAACGCGATTCGCGTTCCCGTAAAAACAATAAATAAAATACGATCGGTCGCGTGCGTTTAACGACGGCCGCAATAGTATTCGCGTTAACGAGCGTTGAAGTATAAATGAGTACGCCGCAGAGCCGTACCCGTCCGAGTGACCTATAATTGATTTTTACCGCGCTCGCCCGACTTTGCTGGGCAGTCGAAAAAGCTTGGCGATAAATGATTTCGTAACGTCGGACGATCAATCGCGGCTATTCAAAATCGTAACACAGTAAGTCACAAAATTCGCAAATTTTACAGTAGAGACGTTTTAGTAATGATTACTCGTCTAACGCGGACAGGTGCGCCGTGTACAGGGGGGCTCTGGGGCTGCAGCCTCCCATGATCTTGATAAGTCGGATCTCAGTCTCCCCATGGTTCTCATTTTATCAAAAAAAAATCAACATTTGTCATGCACATCCTCAAAATATTAATTTTATTTATAACAAATTAATTGAGAAAGATAAACCTTTTTTTTTTTTTTTTTTGATGTTGGTAGAAGAGAATAAGTGTGTGGATTTTGGTAATCGACCAGGTTCTTGGTTAACTGAAGTTTGGTGTCGGGCATTTTTTAATTTTTATCTTGTGATTTTTCGCGATGCTAATAATACTATTAAAATGTTATAACAAACAACTATATTTTAGTAATTGTTTAACGAACAATTTATGACAAATAAAAAAGAAGTATATGTTTAGATATAAGTAAACCTGTACATGTGGGTATAAAATAGTGAGTCCTTCCCCTCATGACATTTTCAAAACCCGGCATTTCTGAACGCGAATCACGGCTTACAGTTTATTGCGATTTCGAATCGTTAATCCCGGAAAAAATTTAAAATATATTTCGACCGAAAGCGCGATATCGAAAAATCTGCGCGGTTCGATTCGGATCGGAACAATGTCGGACAATATTGATATAAGGGGACGTCTGCAGCTGAAACTGTGTTATGTTTTTGGACAGTTCGCGGTTGTCGCGCGGTCGATTGGTCGAAAATAATAATAAAATATTGTTTGCCGGACATAAAAAAAAAAAAAAAAAAAAAAAAACGTTATTCGAGAGAGAGATGGAGAGAGAGAGAGAGATACACAATTATCGTTATTATGCACTGCACGGCCACCACTACTACTGTACACTCTACCACCTACCTAATATGTATACCATTCTTACTAAAAAACTTACCATGTACGCGTATACCGTGTACAATTATTATATAGGCATACGTAAATTATCATAATATTGTTTCCCCGGGGCGCAGGACTGTTGCAGCGGCATGTGCGTCAGGTCGTATAATAGGTGTGCGCGCGCGCGCGCGTGTATGTGTGTGTGTATGTGTATGTGTGTGTGCTTGTGTGTGTGCGCGCGCGTGTGTACTTATACCTTAATTTGTATTTGTAAAAAACCGAAAAGACCGCGTCATTGAAGATGATGTCTTCTTAAAAATCGTGTACATATGCGCGTATGTTTGTGTTCCCGACAAAAATATTATATACGAACGCGAGCACGCCGCGGCTATAATATAAGCCGGGTACACTGGATATTATTTAGGCGTATTACGTACAGAGAATAGAGCAAAACGTGTTTCGACATACTTACAAATATAATATAATAATATTATAAACGGGCGGAACAAAACGGACATTAATCAACGGGGAAACAAAACGAAAACGTTAAGTTTTTCTAATTTATCAAAAAAAAAAAAAAAACCAACCGTCAGCCTAACAATCTCCGTGCATATATATATATATATATATAGGTGTGTGTATCGGTCAGAACGCGTCTCGACTGTAGCGATTATTATATACAAAAAAAAAAAATCTATAAAAACTCGAAATAGGTAAAAAAAAAAAAAAACGGGTTGTTATAAAACGTTGCGGAATATATCGATCAAAATCTCCGCTCGACTCGAATTCCTTATTGCGTACCTAGGTATAATAATATAATACCATTATTTTATTTACGACCTACAATAAAAAAAAAAAAATTTATTTTTTGCGCGCGTGTAATAATTCGTAGGCAGATTTTTATTATTATTATTATATTCTATAAAAACTAACGAGCAATTTCGTTTTTCGAATTAAGTTTTTGTAAATACAGTGAAAACTCTTTACTATAACGAATCTTAAGGGACCAAGAGATTTCTTTCGTTAAACATACAGAGTTTTCGCAATGGAGAAGGTTAACGTATAAAGCGAACTGACCATTATTAAGTAAGTTTTACGTTACACAAGGTTTTTCGTTAAAAAGAGTTCTCCGCGCAACATCCAAATTTAATTTTACCAATCATGTCATTTTGCAAACATTCGGGTCTTATTTATTGATTATTATATCCTCTCCCCGCTCTCAACTGTCGAGATTAATCGTTTTTACAAGAAACAAAAAGAAAACTATACGCAAATGAATCGTCGAAATAACGCCTGTACACAGGTCGTAACTGTTACGTTTAAGGATTTTCGATCCACACTCGATTCAATCGACCGAAGCGAATTAAGGGGATTGGAAGCGACGAGTTTCTGTCTTTGTCTTGCACACGTGAGATATAGTGATTCAGACGTATTTTAATTCTAACGTACCGATTGATCTAGTGAAGCGGAAAGAATTCTGGAAAGAGATTTGAATTTGTAACAAAGTCTACTTGAGTACGTCTTTTTTCCTTTTTAAATTTATCCCCTTTAAATTCTAAAAAAAAAACCCATATGAAAAAATGGAATAGTTTAATTTTCGAGAATCAAAAATTAAAAACGTGGAAAAATCAACTTCCAATAGACTTCACGAAAAATTCAAATCTGTTTCCAGAACTCTTATCGCTTCACTAGATCAATCGGTACGTTGGAATTGAAACACGTCTAAATCCCTATATCTCACGTGTGTAAGACAAAGATAGAAACTCGTCACTTCCAACCTCCTTAAGTAAACCCGCAGCAAAATGGAAACGGATAAGTCGTTCGCGTATGTAAGGTATTATTATTATTGTTTCGCCGTGACCGGTGTGTTTTTTTTTTTTTTTATCAACTCCTTTTCGATATTTATCACGTCCGTGGATGTGCAGTGCAGCGTACGCGAATTTTACGACGTCCGATAATAGATTTCCCGACGGTACATAGCCGCACGCGATGCGGGGCGTAAGATATTATTGTTATTATTATTAATCATCGTTATCATCGTTTCTGCGCGGTGTTTCTCTGCGAGTTTGAAAAAATCGTCGCGGTCATCTCGCGATTGATAAAAATAAAATAAAATATATCGCACACGCCGTGTTATAATTTATATTATTTGTATATTGTTCGCGAGCGTACACGCAGTTCTGCGGGTATAGTGTGTGTGTGTGTGTGTGTGTGTCGGGTTTAAACGATTTTATCAATGACAATACATATTTTTTTTATTATTATTGTCTGTGCGTGCGTGCGTGCGTGCGTGCGTGCGTGTATTATAGTAGTGTAATGTACGAGTGTCGGTCCGTCCAGACGGTTTCGTTCAAGGACGGGGCCCCGGCGTCCGACATTTATGGAGTCCGGTCTGAAGGGCGAGCACGACGCGTATTATTATTATTATTATTATACAACATTGTAATATACAATGTGTACCCAAACACGTCGTCGTCGTCGTCGTCGTACGGGGCTCGGCCGGCCTGCGGCGAACCGCCGGCAATCTTCGCCGATTTGGAATTTTTTTTTTTTTTTTCTTTCTCGTTTCTTTTTCGCCGTCTCTCCTCCCCCTCCCCCCCTCCCCCTCGCCCGTCGCGAACGCATCGCGTTGGACGCGAGGCACAGGGCGAACGCGCGAAGTAAATACGAAACGCGGCGAAAATCGGCACACGGCAACGGTCCCGATTCGCGCGGCCGGTCGGTCGGTCATTACATTACACGGGTATTGTGCTATTATCGCGTACGCGTTACGCGGGTATAACGTCTCCGAGGACCGTGCAGAATAATAAATAATACGCGTATTTTAATGGGGTACGGGCGCACCGAGCACCGTCGCCGCGTCTCCGTCTCCGTCTCCGTCACTCTCTCTCACTCTCTCTCACTCACTCTCACTCACTCTCCAAAGTCTCTCTCTCTCTCTCCGTGTCCGTACCTGTTGCTGCCTCCCGCGCGTAATGTAATATTATAAATCACTCGACAAGAGCCCGGCGTGAAGCGACGGCCGCGGCGCGCGGGCACGCCGCCCGGTCTCTCCGGGCCGTCGCGGTCGGCTCCTTTGACTCCGGGATACTTCCCACAGAACGTCGCACGAAACCCAAACTGCGCGTACACACGCCGGCGAGCGCGCGCGGATTGATTATTAGGTTTGTTTTTTTTTCTCGTGTCCCACAGTTCTCAAGGTCCTACCCTAACCGACGCCCGTACGTACAGTGCACGAACGGATGACCGTAATGTTATTTCTTCACCCCCCGCTCGTTCCTCCGGCCGTTTTCCGTTCTCGTCAACGCACGCCCGCGACGACAATAGGGACCCCCAAGAAAATCCGACACGCCGAGGCGGCCGGTACCTAAACGCACGCACGCGCGCGCGAGCGCACATATTGTTATTATGCTTTCGGAGACTCGGGGTTCTCGAAAAACGCGCGTACCTACTAGTTTTACGACCGAAACTCGACGGTTTTATTATGATATTGTTATTATATTGTAGTTTTTGTCGAAAATGAAAAAAATAAATAAATAAATAATAATAATAACGTTCGAATTCGTCGACGACCCGGTCCGGGGCCCCGCACGGCCGCGATATAACGATAAATAATCACGTTGTAGTCCGAGCACCCGCCCGATATAGTACCGTTTTATAGTATGCCGAGCATGCCGATAATGTTCGGTACCGATTTTCCGCAAGCGTCTCTATTATTGCCGGTGCGTACGGTACGAATGAATCGCGCACGTGTACGGCCGTTTGCCGTGACAAAATAATGTACACATATTTTGCAACGTGTATTTCTCCCCGTCGTAAAAAACAGCAGGTATACGTCCGATTTCTATAAACCGTAACGATATTATTATGTGCGGGCGTTTATGTATGGACGTTTCCGGTTTTAATGTGCGACTGCGGCGGGTACAGCCGCTGCGGCCGTCCCGCCCGGCGATTTAGTTTCCGATTTTTTTTTTTTTTTTTAATTTTTTTATTCCGTCAACCATTACGTGTCTATCTAATTTGAAAATCTTTTCGAAATCCAAAAATCAATAAAACCAAACGCGTTTTTACGTGCACATCCTACTATATTTAATATGTCACGATTCACCGTCGTAAAAACCAATAGTTAACATATTTTTATTTATTTATTTTTTTTTTCTGTTAATTCTGCGCGGTCATTCAGGAACGCACCGGTGTTACATGTGTTTTGTTTTTTTTCAATCAACTTTCTTGTAGCACTTTTTTTATCTAGTCTGTGCATTGATCATTTTTTGATTTTCCTCGTAATTTTCTTAAGGGAACGCCACACCGGCATCTACAACTGTCTCCGTTTTACAAACGCAACACATAGCAAATTTGCGTTCAGTAGTAAAGCAAATTAGTTTATTTTACCAAACTTAAAACTAAGACGATTATAGTATATGCCCTAGCGTTGATTTTTTTTGATAATTTTATTTTTGAGCAAAATATAATCATTTTTAAATTGTGATATCATGTCTGGTTTAAAAATAAAAATAACGAAAAATCGATTGCGCACAACCTTGTAATCGTTTTACTTAAATTTTTGGTAATAGGTCAATGTGCTTCAATATTAAAACTCACGGCACAAAATTTGTCCTATTGAACACAAATTTGCTATGAAGAAAATATCGAGTGTAATAAGTAATAATATTTTTTTTTCTCCCAAATGACCTCCTTGAAGTACCTTGCCAGTGAGATTTCCTTTCGGAAAAAGAGCTATCATTGTAAATCGTAGCAAAATTGCTGATATAAACGTTGCCAAAAAAAATAAAAAATAAAAAAAAATAAACATCATTGTACAACCAATACATATTTCTCGCTCTGCTCAGAATCTAAAAACGTTTAACCGCGAGCGTCGCTAGAAATATTCGTCTGTTCGTCACAGTGTTTTTTTGTGTACACACAACAAAACCGAGAGATTCGAGTTTACATACGATTCGTAAAGGACACACGTGTTGAATCTGGGCAATGCGATTTTATACACGGGTATATACGCGTATTGTACCTATACGTGATTTTACAATAATCGTTTACGAGCAGTGGACCGTGTATTATACGCGAGTATCACGATTTTCGAAAACGTGTATTATTGTCAAACGGCCATTTATATCGCACGAGTGTATTTACGTATTATAGGGTGCGATTTCGTTTTCGCGCGCTCCGGTACGGCCGTGTTAAATATTTTTTTTATCTAAAAATACGTAATATTATACAGAGTGATATTTTTAAGCACCCCCCCCCCTCCCCGCACATTTTTACGGCTGAATTACGTGTACGGTTTGGAATTTGCAATCACAGTCAACAACGATATTTTCGAATACTCGGATTGTCCGCAACATACGAGAAGAATCCTGTCGGGGAGATATCGCTATTCCAAAACGAGAACCTACACGTATTTGTCTTCTCTACAATATGTGGTGCAATTTTCAAAACGTTTCTGACGGTTTTCGAAGCTGTTTGCGACTGCCGAGATTTTAGATTCAGAACGAAGAACGTTTCTTTCCTTAACCAGTGTTACTCCGCTCTCAATTCCCTAGTTCTTCTAGGCCTCTATCCACTCTATCCTTTCATCGTTGTTTGGGACGTCCTCTCGGCCTCTTCGCGCTCGGTTTCCATTGTGTAACTCGACCAATATTATTTTCTCCGATCTTCACACGCGTCCAGCCCGGCTCAGTCTACTAGTTATTTTTGACTTCCGTGACAAAATCTTTGATCTAAGAACAAAGGCACTAATCCGAACTGCCATCTGTTATTACTATTGTACGTTATTCGGAAAAAGTGCTTGTTTCCAAAAGTGACATGTGGTGCGTTGTTTTGTTTTGTTTTATTTTTTTTTCCGGTAGAGGTCAGCTGCAACAGCAACAGCAGCAGCGCACCGGCAGCACCGGACGAAATTATATACACGTACCTATACGCGAGCGCGCGCGCGCCCGGACGGCTTCAGGTTCATGGTTCATCACCATTATAATCAGAGGCCATTCTCCTCGGCCGCCCCAAGGTTTTATTTTTATTTTACTCCTTTTTCTCTCTCTCTTTCTTCCTCTCCTATTTTCTCCTCTCCTCTCTTCGCCGTGTCTCGCGCGTATTTGTGTGTACACGGTGTTCGGTGAGTATTCGTGTGTGTGTGTGTGTGTGTGTGCGTGCGTGTATGTGTGCGCGCGCGCGCGCTCGCGCGTATGTGTGTATGTGTGTGTGTAACCGTTTCAGGTTTGTACCGCAAGTCGAGTGTACACACGTCGCTCATTAGTCATTTTCGGTATACACGATGACGATGACGACGACGCTCACACGAATTCACAACGGCGGCGGCGGCGGCGGCGTGCAGTAAGTGGTTTTCTTCGATCTCCTCGCGCGCGGGTCCGACGAAACGGAATTGACACGTTAACCCGGAGGGGTTTTCTCGGTCCGTTGGATCGGAATGAAAACGCGGGTGTATAAGAAAAAAAATAAAAAAAATACTACGACATTTAGTCGTATAATAATAGTTCAAGAGTTTCGACGTTGGTAAACACAGTCCCTCCCCCCCCAACGTGTACGAGATAATTTAACGAATATGCGCGCGGCGGAAAACACGTTATCGTTATCGAGAGGACGCGCCGCGCCCACACGATGTTGTGCTGTGCCCCGTCTATTACGGACGCGTGACGTAGCGAATTTTAGGGACAACTTTGTACCCGATACGAGTATATCAGGGAAAACTGCAATATCGAAAAAAATCCACGCGGTTTGCACAGATATTCTCTTCCTATCTGAAAGTTCGACGATAGTGCAATCCGCTCTGGACAATAAACAAACAGCACAAAATCGGTTTTGCTGAATGTGCCGACTCCAAATCGCGGAGACGGTTTTTTTTTTTTTTTAAGAAGAACACAAACACGAGTCTAAGCTATAACAGCTTAGCTTTGTCATTCTGCAGGAGAAACAAAATACTATGGCAACCCTTTAACAACTCTCTTAAGATTCCTATTTGTAAATGGCGTTTCTTATTTTGACTTCGTATTTTACGAAAATTTGTTGACATAAATCCTTTATCACAGGAAAAAAAAATGCACTTTATTATATAGTTATTATCAATCGCGTTTCATAATATATCGATGACGAGCCTGTAAATAAATTACGGTGATATGATATCATTCAACGCGGCATTCATACGGAATCGATATTTAAAAACTGATTTAACGCATTCTTCATAGAAAAATCGTCCGACCCATTATATACTACCAGATGTTGTTCGATATTCGAAAATACGATCTCTGTTTTATCCTCCTATATCGATTTCGGTTTCGAGTAACCGATACGGCTCGGTAAGCGGGATATTTGATTTTAATAATATTTTTAACATATTTTATACACATCCGGTGGCGTTTGACGTCGTCTTTGTATAATTTAAACCTGCGCGTTACAGAATATCGGTTTCAATAAATCCGTCCAAATTACGCGGTCTAGAACGTATTGATTATAATATTGATGATTGATAAATATTTTCGGATTTCGATGTAGCAAGGTGTGTAGCAAGACGTGGTTTTTTCTATCTCGGGAAACAATTTTTCGGTTAGTAAAAAATAACGCTCCGAATCATTTACGATCGTCAGTTAAAAGATGTGGATTTTTCGACCGGTGTTACTTTATTTGTGAAATTAGAAGCACACCGGAATATTTGGGTGGTAAACAAGAAACAAATTACTAATACTAACACACAACGTAATAATTTAACCTTACCAATTTACCTCTCAGAATCGCTTTTCGATTGAACTAGAAGCAAATAAACGAAATTAGACCGTCGAATGTCAAACATTAAAATTAAATTCAGCCATATATTATATTCTGCAGCAAATGTTAATGACGGTGATGATAATGATGATGGTGTAATGAAATGTAATTTTCTAGTAGACCGACAAGTACGTTATATACGAGACGAACGGATAGATATGAATAAAATATTTATAACAATGGAACACCCACGTTGCAACTAAATATATTCTTCGACACGAAGTCGCTCGCTGTCTTCTACGACGTCGTCTTCGTACAAAATTTCCGATTTAACTATAGTTAAGTCTTAAAAAATATGTAAAAAAATATCACAAAATTATAAGTACGCGTTTTATGTAAGTAGTGAGATTTTTCACACGGACACCCGTCGTTCTCGAGGTTATAAATTAATTAAATAATCCTCAATACCGTTTTTATATAATGAATATAGTTTTTGTTTTTCGTCCTATTTCTACTTCTATGTTTAACCATTGCGTATTTTATCAAATTTCCCCCCGAAAATAGAGATAAATCTTTTTCTTCAACGGATAAATCACCGATCAATAGTTTGTGCATCTGCAGTTTACAGAATACTACGATTTCCCAACGATTACCAAGATTTCTTATGAGATTACCGAAGATTTCCCGTAAGATTATCAAATATCTGTGTACTGATTTCCGTTAGTGATTTACCCTATATTTTTCTCGCTTTTTTTGGAAATTTCTAGCGGCTCTGTCTGGACCAAATGAGCTCAAACTCGGGAATTAGAGTTGTTTCATATGTTATGTGGACTGAAGTAATACAAATTCGGTTTAGTTCAATTTAAATTTAACCTTGTTGTTGCGGATGACGATTGCTTTTTAGATTTGCACTTCCCTAAATTGGCACCTGCAGAGGTGTGCGAAGGAGCCATTGTCCCCTTAGGATTTTCAACTGTATGTATTTTACTTTTATCAATCACGCATAATGGGCATACCACAACAGTATAAAATGTTTCTAGAATAAAACATTTTCCCCGTTTTGCCCCGGATGGGATTTTATCCTCCAGGCGTACTCGTACTACAGAACTTCAGATTGAACTAGGATAATTAATATTGTATGTACATACCATTAGTATTAGATACCTTCACGTTTTGGAATGCTTAATTTTTTTTTGGAAATATTGTAATTTATTGTAACGTATAGTATAGATTGGGTTATATTTGTATAGTACTCAGTTATTTATACATTTTTCGTTTAACAAAGTTTTATAATACAAAACAGCTGGATGAATATTATGCTGTATAGTGGCAGAGCTCTGCTGTTTACGGATGTTTTTCGTTTATTCTATTGCTTCCCCCACCCCATCCTAAATTTCGTCTGTATAAGATAGCGAAGCGATTAAACGGATTCTTCGATACTAGACAAATCGACGAGAATTGCGCGAAAATCGTGAATAATAAAAAAATGGTCGTTGAAATACAAAATAATATCATACGATTCGGCCAAAAAACATCGTATTATTCTTAATCGGCACACATACATACGATACCAGATTATAATTGTATAACATTATTAATACGCCGTAAACGAACCGGAATCGTGCGGTTAATTTACATATTTATCCGGCACCATTATAATAATATGTATAATGTGTATACGAGTACCTACAATAGTAATGCGATAAAAACGATAAATATTTTATTTTTTGAAACCGTTACATACTGTATATAGTATATATACCAGATACCTAATGCCGATGTAGTGAAATCATACGTTCGAAGTGCGCGTAAAATCGCATATCGTCGGTACGGACGGTTTTTCGAATCACCCCGGACGTGTTCGGGGAGAGGAGAGGTGTACTTGACCGTTTTCGGTCAGAACGAACCTATCTATTTTATGTGTTTGAGACGATTTTTTTTTCTCGTTTTGCATAATATGAACATTCAGTTTTTGTAAAATATAAAATACGAAATTAATATTGGTTCAAGATTGTCCCCGCCCTATCGAGCTTGAGCTAGGCGAACAATCCGTTATTTTCTACGTGCATTTTTATATTTTAGCATAAAAATGGCCGGGGAGAGGGTTCAAAGTCAATATTTCCGAAAGGAACACCAATGTTACTTACACCGCGCGTACACGGAACCGCGTCCCTCTAGGTTTATTTAGGGTATCTTCCATGACGACACGATGAAATTTAACCGAAACGTTATCACTTCGGTGCGCCTAAAAAACCCCATTCTAATTACTCGGGTTCGAGCTCCTCATTGGTCCAGAAGGAGCGACTTGAGATTCCAAAAGTATGACGGGAACGAGATATCATTATAACGTATCGAGACGCAGTACACCGCATCGAAATATAGTCTTCAGAGGCGTCAGGTTTTGAAAACGTCATGGGATCATGGGCTCACTATATTATTATAAAGACACACGATATCGAAAAAAAAGAAACCTTTATTTACCTCAATTAATTTGCTGTAAATAAAATTTTGTATTTTATTTTAAGTATTTTGAGGATGTATCTGACAAATGTTGATTTTTTTTTATAATATGAGAACCGTGGGGGGGGGCTGAGTTCCGTTACACCAAGTTTATTGGTAGGCTGCAGCCCCAATTTCCCCTGTACGCGGCGCCCCCGATAGTCTTTATTTTCGGAGAGAATTAAAAAAAAGAAAAAAAAAAAACGATTTTCCGGACTATTATTGTACTAGGCGGAGCGCGTTTTGTCCCGTGCGAATCTATCGCCGCCGAACGGTTTTTTACGATGACGTATATTATGTTATTATTATTATTATTATTATACGCTCTCGTCGTATTATTAGGTTTTATACTTGCCGCGCAAAGATGAAATGTGTTTTTTACGTGTGCGTATATATAAGCACACAGGAGTGCCACTAACTATAATGTATATAAACCGGGAGGCGCTGCAGCGGTCGTCGTCTCCGCGGGGCAACGTTCACCGCGCGCCGAAAACGTTATAATATATCCGAAAACCAGTTTGATTTTTTCCCCCGTCGGTTTTTTTCCGCCCCACCCTCTGTCTTCTTTTCTCCTCTCGACCGCATTTCACAGTCGAATTAATTACGACGGCCGGCCGAATCAACGAACCCTCCTCCTTTTCCCCCGACCCGCGCCGCCATCCCCTGTATACCCATTATATCGCCACCTCTGCGGCACCTCGATACGGTTTCTCGTCTCCGTTCTTCGATCCTGAAAAAAAAAAAAAAAAACCCGGTTTTACAATATTACCGTCGAGTAATTCGCGAGACCGACGCGAAATAAACGAACGGAAAACGAAATATAGTAGGTTTATATACATACCTAATTGTAATATATGTGCGAGACGGGTCACGAGTACCGAGGAGTCGTCCGAGTGTTAACATCGTTTTTTTATAATTATTGTTTTTTTTTTTTTTTTAAATTTATTTTTTATATTATCACGATCCGGCACATCGTCTCCAAGGGACGATATCGAATAACATTCACTTCGGTTTTTTTCGGTCATTTTCGGTTTGACGCTTCGAAAAGGTGCGGGTAGACTACTATTATTACGGAGGTAAATACGTGTGATAAGGCCCCGTGTACGCATAAAGAGCGGACATTTCAAAAATATTGTGCGATCGTTACACGATGACATAACAACGATTGAAAACGAAAATATTCCAAAATCGGTTTTACTCCGAAATTTTCTTCGCTCTATCGATAATCGCGCAAGATATTAAAAAAAAAAAAATTATAAAAGGATCGGGGTTTTTTTTTCCGTCACTTTTAGATTCTGAGCGTAGTGAGAAATATATTGGTCTTTTTCGATGATGTTAATTTGTTTTTCTTCCGTGGACAACTTTTCTACCAACAACTTTGCACCGGTTTTCCAATAAACGGGGCAAAATCGGGAAAATGTACGAAACGTATTATTTTCAAATCGTAAATATTGCGGACCTTTTAAAACGTGCGTAACCAAACTCCGCTCAGAATCGTTTTTTGTTAGCGAAGATTAACCGTCGCGTACAGATATCGTATATTAAATTCCTCTCTACATCATATACCTTCTCGACTTCTCACCTACGGAACAGTGGCCCGCCCATCGTGCGAAGTATGTCTTTTGTTATCAGACGGTTTTCAACGTTACATACTGTAGTAATTCTCAAACGCGGCGGGATTACCGGCCGTATACCGAGAACGAATTTTAAAAGACGCGTCCGTACGAGACGGTCCCGGTCCCGGTCCATTACGAACAGCATTCGTATCGATCGTATCGTCTCGTAATGACTCGAGATGTCGTTCGGATGACGGCCGAGGGAAACTGATAGAAATTGTGCGATTAGCTTCGCGGGAAGTCCGGAACGCCGCAATGATATTGTCGAGGTCCGGACTTCTTGACTCCGGTCACACTGCGCGCGGCCCGTCTCGTTATCATTACTCGTCATTTTATCGCGTCGAACGCCGCGCGATAATTTATCACGTGGAAACAATGCCGTTTTACGGCGACGATACTCGTCGCCGCGGATAAAAGATTTCCGGGGAAATACTCCTTTTCGCAGGGCTCGACGCACCGGGATTTTGCAAATTGTTGTTCTAATAATAGCGCCGGAGTCTGAACGCGACCGACTTTTTACGGAATTTGTATTTTATGGGTTTTGGTTATGTATAGTCAAAACTCGGAGTCCGACCACGCGGCTCGCGTAGAAAGTCGTCCGCTTCCCGACAAAAACCGAACGTATCCAAAAACCATAACGTACAGCGCTAGCCTCTCGTCGAACAAATGTTGACATTTTTTCGTTGAGTCTTTTTAATTTGCAAAACAACGTGCGGGACTTCTTCGTATTTCTATTATTATTATTTTTAACAGTCATTATTCCCGCGAAAATGGCGGCCAAGACGACTTCAACGCTTGTCACTGTATTACTATAATTATCTAATATATTGATAACATATCAGCGATTTTATCATGATTATTATACCGTGTGAGTTTTTTGACGCGACCACCGTCGCGTTATTCTCGTAACGATCCGAAGTCAATTACAGTGGACGCCGATCATAAGACTCACGGATACGAGGTTCAGTCGGTTATTAGACTTAAAATCACTTGGAACGGTCCGGACAGTCCCAAATACACTCTATCGTTTCTCCGCTTCGCCTTTGTTAGCGGCGTCCACTGTGTTATAAATATGTATGGCCGAGTCACCATCTGCGGTACGGCCAGTATCCCTGCTACGGCCATTCATTTCGTGTTCCATTTGTCAACGGTGCAATTTTGTAATTCGATATCCCATAACGTTTATTGTTGGATTCGCGGACGTACGCATTTATTTACCGGATGGCGGTATCAATTGTTACAAACATATTTAGATAATAGCGTAGGACGACCGTGTTATAGCGGGTAAAAATGAGATTTTAAAAGAAAGCGAACATTGTATCTCCGCACGGTATTTCTCGCGTGATGCTACGAAATATTGTAAGAGTGTTGGGTCGGTTGTTCACAGCTTCCATGCACGGTTACATTTGCAATCGATTTCGATAACCGCGGACAAAATAACAGAGACCAGAGCGTGAACAAACCGTTAAAGTGGCTGCAGTAGGCGGCGCGACTCCTGCACTCTGTACATTGTTTAAGCGACATGCGCGGACCGACGTCGCCGCCCGACGGACTAATCGCTGTTTATCGGCCCGGGTATGTTATGACGTCGTGATATCCGAATAATTACCATATTGGACATTTTTATAATGAATCGACGCACCCGAACGTAACACAACTACACTGTACATTGTGATGGTATCATAATAACGTAAGTGTCTATATTTTATGCACGGTTCAAAATTCGCATTCCAGCCGAATACGCTCGCCGCGATATTGACAGGCTCGCATCGCACGCGGATACGAGAGTTTAAAATATTACTACACCGCACAATGGCCGGTGCAGGTTTTATCGGGTTCACAACATCAAGCGGTTTGTGTTTTAAATCCGGATCATGTATTCCGCACGATTAAAAAATAATAATAATTACTATAATCGGTTATCGCGTGTACACAACACACCGCAGCTCTATGCATGTACAGTCCCACGGTGTATAAGCCCGGTGCAGCCGGCACGTAACACAAAATATACACTGTAGTTAAAATCAATATCGTTATGATATGCATTGTATGGATCGGAAGCGGCGAGTTTTCATATTTATTCATAAAACTAACAGCGCGGTGTCGTCAAATTTCATGTCCGTTATGCGAATGTAAAAAAAAAAAAATATAATAATCGATTTCTACAAGTTCATTTCGGGAAGTCGTTTTTTTTTGGCGGTCGTCTACGTATGCACATTGCATAACGTATATGTTGAAGTACAATTTCGGCTGTGTGAGAACCATTACGGTTTTCGAAAACATCGCGTTTATTATATTCCGATAAAATGTTTAATCCCACCTGAATATGTGTGCAGCCTCGTTCGAAGTAAATTCAATATCAACGGTGTCATACCCTGTAGCCAATAACGTTGTACAAACGAGTACAAATGCTAAAATCGCTCTGACGGGCGAGTAGTTTTCGTTTCCGTTTTACGTTAAACCGTATACAACCGCACAAAGGCTTGTGAAATGTACGTTTTAAAATGTGTTTTTTATGTCAGTGAATTTGAATACTTTTGATTCGATAAATGTTTCGGGTATTTTTTTTTTTTTTAATTTTCCTTAAAATGTCCTAAACGCAAACCACTCAACAATATTGTTGGTGCGATACGCCCACTTTATTAAAGTTTAAATTGAAAATTGTAATTAATACAGACAAAATTAAGAAGATGATCGCCTTAATGAATATAATTTATAATAATATGCATTGCACTGGCGGCGTAACCGCGAGAATCGACTCTCGTAATATTTTACCGCCGGGAGAGGAGTAGGAGTAGGAGGAGGAACTATTAGTAATTTATCTAGGGAAATTTCACCCCCCTCCCCCCCATACCGCACAGATCGAATTTCACGGGGTCAATAATCACGACTGGCACACGGACGTCGAATAACATAATAATATTATTGCAACCGTGTTATTGTTGTTATTACGGGCGCGGTGTGTACAATAATAATAACGCGTAATGTCGTGGTTTAGTTCCGGATACTGTATTATTATTATAATTTTTTTTTGATAATACACTCTGTGATCCGACGACGGAAGGTTCCATTATAACAACGCCGTGTTTGCGTCGTCGACGCGTGCAGTCCCCGCGGTTATTACAAACGGTTCGTGTACAAAACGATTTGCCTATTTTCTGGTTTTGCATACGGCCAGAAAATGCTATAAACGGCTCTAAAAAGTTTCGTTACGCCGGCACTGATGCTTTCGAATCATTTCAATACCGAGCCTTGACAGCGTAAACCTATTTTTGTTCGGTTTTGGCAGTCTTCCGACATTGTATATACCTATGCGGTCGAGAGCTTTTTTAATGAATACGAATCGTCTGGCCAACAACGAGAGTTCAGATTGCCTTTTAATAATGTGTGTTTAGGTATAGATAGTTATATATTGCATCTGCAAGGCTTTAAAGCGGTCGTATTGTAAAAGTTTACAAGAAGCCCCGCGCGGGCCGATGATTTTAATGTAGACCGCGCATACCGGAGGACGGCCTTAATTTTTTCGAATCGACCGCACGTTTATTTATCATTTAAATAATAGATTTAGCAAAACGTTATTTTTCAATTCGTATCTCCCGTTCCCACCTACCGATTGGAGAAAGCCCGGCTGATTAATTTGCCCAGAGCTCGCGACGTACTTAATCCGGCTCAGGTTAACGATGTATTATTCGAAGTACATTATTTTCGACCTGTCGAGGCGATATCCCAGCGACGTCATGACGCGTCGTGTCGTATACACAAATATTTAAGATGCACAGTGGCGTGTAATATGGAATCGCAGTCCATGCAACACTTTGAGAAATCGGTATTAATTAAAAACAGTTTGAGAATTATTATGTACATTACAAGGCCAGAAAACTTAATGCTAAGTCACATGTGAAAAATAATTTGTACAACGACTTTAATAGAGTTTTGAAAACGTTAGAATTAAATAAGGGTACTGAATTGTCAACAATTCTTCTTTTAATTGTGTGAAAAAAAAAATGATTGTATAAACGATGTGTGCGTGCATTAACTCTTTTATTCCATACCGAGATTTTATTTTACAATAACGACCAATCAGAACACGACACACGCTGAGATAGCGTCTTTAATAGGAACGGATTTCTGCAGGTTACTCTTGTTCTGTCGAAACTACAGCGGTTGATTTTGACGCGTCAATAAATATTGAATTATGATAACGGCGTAATGTTATATGATACTATATTTTATATTCAAATATTATCTATTTTTTAATTTCAGTATTTTTTTTTTTTTTGGTGTTTTTACAGACGCGTCTTGTTCGAACGAGGCCGTACACCTCCAGCAGCGGTTACGAAGTCTGAGCACCGAGCTGGTCACGCTCCGGAACAGCCTGAATCAGGGCCAAGGAGCGGCGGGCGGTCAGGGCGGCTGTCCGCAGCCGGCAGCGACGACGGGCAAACAACAAAGTCCCGGATCGACTAACTTCACCGGCAACAATAACAACGGCGGCGGCATACTGGCCTCGGGCAAATCCGCGTCCAACAGCCCGTCGAAATCGACGTTACCGCCACCCGTGTTGCCCAGGACTTCGTTGCCCGCTTTACCCGTTACAGGTAATTATAGATGAACGCGTTGCCAATAGTGCGAAGTTTGATTTTTTTGAAATTTGTTTTTGAGGCGGGTAATGCGAAATAAAAACAATAAAAGACCGTCGATTAAATTGATAATTAAATAATAGTATACACAATGGTCTGTTTCGCTACGGTCGAAAACGATAAATTTAAATTGGAAACTCCGTGCATTCAGAAATCCGTGCATTTTCAGAGCGAGTTGGGCCACTTAAAGAAAAGGGGTCGGCGGAAATCGACGACGAAAATGAGGATTTTTGAGAAAATAATTGAGACTAGTTTTTTTTTTTTTTTTTTTTTTTTTTTTCCTAGCAATTAATCTAATTTTCGTAGTCGTTGCCAAAACCTCGTATTTTTAAAATTATCAACAACGAATTACGACGTCTACATCAAATCAAATTTGAAAGGAAAAAGGGCGCGTAATTTCGTGCGATTACACGAATAACGCATTAAATCCGACGAGAATAAACGTTGAAACGTTATCGCGTGTGTCCAATATCAAATACCTCGTATCTCCGCGGGTTATCATTTTGTACAATCGAGAAGAGAATTTTATGAAATATTGTCTGAAACATAATTTTGAGCTCGTAAATAAAATATATTTAGTTAAGCCATTGCCAAAATTTAATTTTATAATTAGTTTTTTATTATGTATCAAAAACTGGTGACACGAGATACTGTTTTGGCAACGAAAATATCATTATACGAAATAAACGTGTGAATTTATTGTATAACGTATTCTACAATATATGCCAATAAAAAATATGTATTCCGATCTTGATGTCGTTTTCGCTCACTTGACGGTTGAAAAAAAAATATAATAGGGATACGAGAGTGGAACTACGGGGTTAGAATAAAAAGCTTCGACGATTCTGTACGAAAAAAAAAAAAAACGAAAAAACACAAATCGTATTCAGTTAAAACAAACCTCTGCGAAAACCGCTGCTGGCTCGTGATGTATGGATCGCTCTGTATTCCATCCGCGGAAATTAATTCAATACTTAAAATTATATCGTGCTCGCATTCACATTATATTGTTTAAAACAATATTAAAAATCTAACTACGGGATTCCACGTATAATAATCTAATAAGTGACTGATAATAAGAAAAAAAAAAAAAATGATTGTTAACTCTCGGTGTAATAGTCTCGTATAATCGCGCGCAGTCACGTGTAATAGTATAATAATATAAATGATTCACGGAATTCATTTTTTTTTTTTTTTCATTTTGGCGATTATTTTGTATGCATTTTTCGTTTTATAATTTATTATCGTTGCCCAACTACGTGTCGGTCGATTATTGACCATGTGATCGTCCGTCCGGCATTCCGGTACACACGAGCATATAATATAGGTACCGGATTTATGCTCGTATACGGTCCGCGGGCACTTTAATTAAATTATTTAAATTATTATTCGGGTTTTAGATTCCGATAGCGCAGAGAGGTTTTACTGTCCGCGTTTTTTTTTTTACGATTTGTTGTCTTGTCTGCGAATCGATTTTCTACCGGAAATCTTGCTCCGAAATCGTCTCAGTTCCAGTGGTGGTTTGTGACGGTAGCGAATTTCGTCGGGTCGGTGCATTGCGCGGGATCGGTCACTCGTTCGGTTTTCCCTGCATAGTTTGCTTACCGATCGAGGAAAATCTGGAAAAATTTCGGAAACGCTGGAATATTTACGCAATAACGGGTGCTGTTATTTTCGATTTGTTTTCCTTGTTGTTGTAATTCGATTAAAAATAACCGAAGCGACCTGACCTTTTCACCGAATTCACTTATTTAGCCCTTTATAGGCTTGATGAAATTTTCTATAAAATTCTGGCGTTTTCGTGTTGATTTATAGGTTAGCTATTTAAAATGTTCTAGTTTTTAATTTTGTATTTCGTTTTATGCGGATACATAGTTATTGGCTTCTAAAAAACGCTCGACAGTTACCACGAGTTTATCTTATTGCACATCGCACTATCTACAGTTTATTTTAATTATAATAAAAATAGATATACATGAACATTTATAAACGTTTTGCGTAAATTATTAGCATTTTACGCATTTATGCGGATAATATATGTATTTTTATTTTTATTTTTTTTTTGATAACATAAAAACGTTTAAATATCCGTAACAAAAACACCCAGATAATTGTAATTAAATTATTGTAACTGTAATTTAATATAATTTTTGATATTTGAGTTTATCGGAACACGTTTAACTCAGGGCTTTACTCAGAATCGTTTCGAAAATTCCTATAAAGCACACTTTATTATGATGTAATTCAAGCTCAGAGTATATTGGGGCTAAGATTATTTTTGGGAGAGCTGTGAGGTAATGAATGCATATCTGTTATTAAATGATAAATTGATAGAACTAAACTGTCATAATGCATAATCAGTAGACTCGATATTAGTGGTTATGCACATCGAAATGTCTAGTAAAATATTCTCTATTTGAATCTGTGATTGAAAGTGGGGGGGAGGGTTGCTAAAAATCCAAAGTATACACATTTCATATACGAGGAATCGGGGTAAAAAAATTGAAAATATAGTGTCGAAATTAAGCTTAAACGATTCCATAATGATAAACAGAAATCGAATTCGTTTAAAATGCTCCGAGAAAATTGCCGGTTAGCGATAAAAAAAATCGCACTGTAGTGGCCGTTAGCACAGTCGCATTTCACCCGTATCACCCATATGCCTGCCAAAAAGTACTCCGCGAGTAGCGTAAACGACATTATACAAATTTTTATGCATACGTTTTAATTAACCACACAAACAGATGCTTGCCAGCACCTATACGTGCTGTACAGTTTCGGTTATTTAAATTTAGACGTTAACATTATCGGTGATAATAATGCACGCAAGAAAACGGAAAAAAAAAAATAAATAAATAGAGGTCAACTGTTCACCTTCAACTGTACGCAGCGGCGTAACAGTTCAATACACCGCGAAATCAACGAGATCGTCAAAGTGAAATTTTTTAATATATCCGCACACGACACGCGCTCGGCGTTTTACTGGATTTTCGCGTGTTTTAAAATCGTGTCTCGACGACGTTGGCGGTTGAAAATGATTACAAACTTGCGTACAAGACGATCACTATAACATAAGACATTCGTCTTAAAATAATATTTTTACGGAATTTATTTTTGTTTGGAAAATTAAAAGAAATAGAAGTTCTAATCTATCCCCTCTTAACCAAAAAACGACAAACTTAAAATTGAAATGTCTTGTGGACGGGTTGACGGAAATAAAAATGTCAACACCAAAGGTAAATTTAAACTAAAAATGTTTACATTTATGGGATTTGTAATGCTACAGTTATGAAAATCAAAAGTCGTTAGTGGTTTCATCTCCGAAAATAAGGATGAAAAAAAACCGGTAATGTATCATTTTAGAGCTGGTTGTTTCTTATATTTTCTAAAATACAAATTTCTAATTAAGTTTATGTTCCCTGAGATAATAAGTGTCTTAAGATGACCAACATTGTACTTGACCATTTAGTATGAGGTTCATTATAAATTTTACTTTGTGTTTGAAAAAAAAAAGCTGGGTGTTATATAGTGGTTTTTTTGTAAGCGTTTTAAGATCAAATGTTGACGAAAATCGTAAAAATTATAGAATTTCAAAACACGTACAACCGAACTCTGCTCAGAATGATTTTTTGTTAGTAATGATTAGGTACAGATGTAAATTGAAATAACTTCATGTATCCTACCTTCCCGACTTCCCGTGTACAACAGAGGAACACCTGTTCCCAGCATTCGGCTCTTTCAGATTCGAAACGTAGCGAGGACTGTATTGGTTTTTACAACGATGTCTATTTTATTTTTTTATTTGTGTACAACTTTTCTGCCAAAAATCTTGCTCTGATTTTCAAGCATAGCAAATGTTATCAATTTGGCCCTTTTGGATTTTTCAAGTGGTTTTCATAATGATTGGTAAAAACGGAGAAATGTACGTGTAATGTATGGGATATACTTTGCTCCGAATCATTTTTCGTTAGCAACGGTTTATCGTTGCGTACGGATATAAGTTAAATTCCCCTTCTATATTCTATACCTTTCCGACTTCTCACCTATGAAACAGTGGCCTGTCCATTGTGCGAAGTATGTCCGTCTTTTCTTTTTTTTTTACTCAAAATCCGCGAAAAAAATCGTTTTCCCGTTTTATCGGGATCTGTCTGTACAGTGAGTTTTCCTTACTTTCCTAATCTTTTTTTTTTTCTCGTGCGGTACACGAACCCTACAGACACACTCCCATTTCCGGCCAGTACTTAACGAAATCAACCTCCCGGACGCGTCAATTTAATTCCGAACGATTACATAATTATTGTTCGTTATTGATCAATGTCAGTGTACGTTTTGTTTTTTTCTGCAGATAAACTGTTCAAGGGCAAAGAAGACACTCAAAACGGCGGCCAGGGCCCGACGGCTGCCGGAAAATGTCGCGAAAACGGCACGCTGTCGCAACAACAAAAGACTGATAACGCGCACAACGAGCAGCAACAGCAACAGGCCCACCACCGGCGGTCGTCGCATAATGGACCGTCGTCCGCTGCCGTCGCCGCCGGGAGTGTACCCGGCGGCGGCGGCAACGGGTCGACCGTAGACGGCGGCGGCGACCTGATCCATCTTCCTGGGCCATTGACCGAGGACGCCGTGCTCAAGGCGCTGCACAGTCGGTTTTGCGCGGCGCAAATGTTTGTGAGTAAATAAAATATATATTATACAGGGTGCTCGATCTCCCGCCGCGAGGCGACTACGATTGTAGGTACGCCGCGAGCGTTATCTCGGAAAATATTAACGGATACGTTTTCGAAAACGAAAAGACTCTTGGCTTTTCCGACCTGTTGTTATACAGTCGAAATTCCGTAATCTTAAATGTACTGTCCATTAAGGCGTCCCGGGAAAACGTGCGTTTTACGGAAAACCGATCAGTCTGTGCGTAAAGGGGAGGCGGACGGGGCACTTGACGCCAGATTCGAATGGCGCGCAAGTTTTTGAAAAAAAAGTGCGAATAGACGTGTCCGTTTTCTTTTTCTCGATTGTGATATTGTTATCGAATATTTCAGTGTCCGAATTTATGTTTTGACGATTCAGTAACGGCCGGCTATTAACTGCAACATAAAACCGTAAACTCAATCACTAAACTGTTTATACGCCACATTATTCTCACCAACCGTATTCTGTTTTAGACGACGGCCATTACGGCCACACTGTATATTGTTTACTCGAAACAATTTTACTGAAGCGGTTGAAAACGTCGACGGACAATATAGACTCGCTTAATATAATGGGCAAATTTTTCCTCAAAAAACAGCGATACTTTCGACAGTTTTAACGCAGCTACTTACGTGTATAACGGATAATTCTAAAATTCTAAAACTCTCAATAAATGAATTTATCGATTTTTTCATCACATATAAATATTTATGACCTATGGTGTATCTACGGGGCGGGGGGGTATAGCGTTTCAACTCCCCTCCCCAGAGGCACACAACTTCTATAATATTATCATAACGAGTTTGATTTGATATAAGTATACTTAGCTGATTTGTACGAATCTAAGCCGACTAAACCGACTATAGTGCTTAAATATAATATGTAGGTAGGTTTAGGTAATTTATTTTTTATGATTGAAAAATGGGGGGAGGACGTCGTCACGTCGTTTGATAACGATTCCCATTGAAATCGTCGTTTTCAGATGGATATATTTCTTCGCGAAAGTAAAATAATAAAAAACCATTACCTATTTATTAGTTATCGTAAAAAATACAAGCGTCGTGGGCAATTTCGTTTCGTTTAATGATACATAATAACAAAAAAAAAAAAAAAAAAAAAAACACCACCACCGTCTTATAAACAATAACCATAAATATATTGGTTGTGTACAATACTTTCCAGCCGTGCACAAAAGCCTAATATTAAGAGATTCTAAAAGCCGCGGACTTCGGAATGCGGATTTCCGGTCTTTTCACGTTTCGAAAATCCGGATTCTATCGGCCGATCCGGAAAATTGTACCCGTAACGCGCGCGTTGTGTACTGCAGATCTCACACGACCGCGGGCATTCGGCACGGTGCAGTTACGTTCGTCGGGCAGTGGACAGTCCAGTTGTTAGGGATTCGTATTTCGCGTTGGCCCGACTCAACTCAACCCGCGATACGTATATGTATTTTTTTTTTCTAACTCTCGCGTTTAATGACCGCGCTGGTAATGGAACAGGGAAGGCGCCGGCTCTCGTGTTCGCGTACGGCACCTATATTGAATACGATCGAATCGCGACCGACAATAAACTCACCCTGTATAATATTCCTTGCGTATATTAAATATCGTGCGGTACGCCGCGGTCGTGTGTACGTTCGCGACAACTCTACGACGATCCTCCTCCCCCCCTCCCCCCCGGTCCCGCGCAAAATGCGCGATATATCACGTCATTCCTCGCACAAAATTCGTTTACTGTATGGCGCGTACGCATTGTATTCGTGATATACGATTTCATAATAATGCACGTACCGCTTGAACCTTCGACGACCGTCCTCCTCCCCCTCCTCCTACTCCTCTTCCTCCTCCCCCTCATCCTCCTACTTTTGTTCCTTTTCCTTTTTCTCCTTCCTCCTTCGTCTTTTTCCTACCGCCGCAGCCGCCGCCGCCGCCGACCCGGGTGTTATAGGTATAAGGTGTACGCGGTTTTTACTGCGTTGTATTTATTATAATACCGGGCGGGGGGATACCCGCGCAAGTGTTGTACCGCTATAACGTTATGCGAGCTCACGGGAAATTTTTTTTTTTTTTATTTCTCTGCCGCGTATCGGTTCTGTTATCAGCCGACACCGATCGTCGGGTTTCGTGATTTTCGTTCACGCCCCTCTCCCGCGCGCGGCCGCGGTTCGTGCTGTTTCCCGCGTGTGCACGCGATAATTATTTTTATCGTTCGCGGTTTTTATACGCACAACACTACACCCGGTGCACGCCGACAGAGGTTAGTGTGCCGGCCGTTCCGTACTCGCGCGACTGTTCTTCTGCGGGACGCCGCCGCCGTATCGGTTAATTAGGACTCGCACTAAAAAACGCCGCGGGACCACTACGGGCGCGTCTGCACGTAACGTGTTTAAGGGGTCGCGTATAGGCAACCGGTTCTTATAGGAATTAATCGAATATTTTGGATATACGAAAAAAAAAACCGATTGGCAAGCCATTTTTTTGTTTTTTTATTTGTCAGGAGAGAAGTAGGAAGGGAGAATTCGATTTACGTGTGTACGCGACGATAAACCGTCGCTAATGAAAAGCGATTCTGCAACTATTATTGTTATTATTATTGGCGTATTTTTCCCCTTGTTAATCGCTCGCGCAGAAATCAACCAAAAGTATATCAAACAGTTTTCCAGGTTTCCCGTTTATTAAGAAAACAAGTAATCATAAATGACCTTTTCAACGCGACAATTAAATCGAAAATATTGCAAGAGTGTTGCTAGGTATACGAATTTCGAATAGAGCGAGATTTCTGGAAGAATAACGTTATTCATATATATATATCAGATAAAAAAAAAAAAAAAGGGATTCTCAGGAGAAAAAAAAAACGCGGTAAAACCAATGCATTCCTCGTTCCTGGGTTCGCTCAGAATCGAATATTTTTACAATACTGATTATAGCTGTTTAATCGTGAAATTCGTAGAGTAATCGTGGTTTATAGCAGGGCTTGAGAATTTTTACACAAATTCGGTTTCGCATACGTATTGAATCGTAATGTCTACACGTATCGGTACAAATATAAGGCATGAATTTACGATTTTCCGGCCGCGGCGGGATGAGGAGTCGGACACCGCCGGTCATCTCAAACAGCCAATAAGAACACGGCCAGACTCAAAAATGAAACGTTGCCATTGCGTTATTTATCGGCGACCGTTGCCTTTTAAAATGTACCATAATACACTCCGTGTCTCGTCCGCATATCACGCGTCTCGAGTTTCGTATTTGTTCGCTCGACTTTTCCACTTCGGAAACGCGACCGACACACCGGTCGCGGCGTTTTCCGTGTTCCCTTGCTCCTTTGTCCGCCCGCCCCGGTTCCGAAGGTTTTCCCGCCGACGGCGGCTCTGCGACTGCGCGTGCGGGGACCGCGGTATCCGCTGCTGCGGCGTCAGGTTCGCACGGCGGCGCGTTTCGGTTCTGCGCCGGAGCCGCGGCTACGCACCATACACAAACGCCTGCGTTTCCCGTCTCGGTTCCGCCGGCAACTGTGCCCGCGCCGGAGGACAGGCCGTAATGGAAAACCGGCGGCATTTTCACCGCGCCGGCGCACTGTTCGGGCGAACGCGTTAAAAGCACGCGCGCGTCGTTGATATTTACGACCGGGCCGCACGCGTAGGCTCGGGGAAAACGTGTCCGTAAACAACGCACGCGTGATTATACACGTAAACAAACACGACGACGGCCGAGCCCGTCGTTTCTCCGACTCCCGCGGCGGCGGCGTTGCGAGGTCGGCGGCAAATAAACGCGCGGTTCGAGATTTCGACGCGACGGAATTCCTGTCCGACTGTGTGTGTGCGTGTGTGTGTATGCGTGTGCGTGTGTGTGTGTGTACGTTCGACTGTACACAATTATACTTACTTACGGGCCATTGTATAGGTGCGTACAATACCTATTTACCGCCCGTGTTTACGCGGTCGTCGGCGACGCGACGGTTCTCGGACCGGGCGTGGAACGTCTTCCGTCGTAAAATATTTCCGACCGCACGCGCGTTTGCCTCTTTTATTTCGGTACGATGGTTTTCATGCGAACCGTCTCGGTCCAGCGACTTCCGGGCATTTTAAAAAATGAATTAAAAAAATAAAAAAATAAAAAACAACGGCAAGTTTGTGTATACAGCAATAATAAGACCCCGCGTTAACCCATGAACACGAACACGAAACCTGGAACACCACACAGGAGATTAAAACAATTTGAGAATAAAATATGGAGAATAATTTAAGGTCCTATATGTATGATAACAGAACAGGTGCGTGGAGAAGAAAACATACCAGTCGGTAGGTTTATGAGTGGTCGTATCAATGGTTTGGTTACGTAATGCGCAGAAATCAGGAAGTTAGATAGCGGTGTCGGAATGAAAACCTACGGGGAAGAGACCTCGCGGGCACCCTAGAAAGAGACGGATAGATAAAGTGAAAGAAAATAGGAGTACGTGGGTGGAGAACGGTAGTGCATAACAGAGAAGAGTGGAAGCAGATCGTGATGGCGGCGAAAACTCTTAAAGAGTAATAAATGCCAGTAGAAGAGGGAGAAGAATCCGGCACTGTGTTGCTAAAAACATTAATTTCGCATACTTTTTATACTTTTATATTTTGAGAACCGCTCGTCGAAAATATTCCAAGGGGCCAGTTCAATATTATACGTTTCTTGGGAGCTAGTTTAATACCGCGTTTTTCGGAGGCAAATCAGTGGTCACTGTTTTAGACTACTTGGGGGGGGGAGGGTTGATGTATCGTCCACATCACGCCCTTTTAGCACGCCACAAAGCGTTTCTCTAGCTGATCTGTATAGTTCGCACGATTAAGTACAAATTGTTAAAATGTTCGACGGATTCGTCAAAATATCTGCGAGAATAATTACTACGGGATTTATTAACGAATTTCAACATCAGTATATTTACATTTTATCGTATAGGTAAACGTATCGTCATCACTGTCGTATTTTAATAATTGCTTGTTCTTACCTCGGTTATTGCGGGCGCGATATTATCGGCGTGATTTAAGTATTTAAATATTATGTCGGACTACGCCATAGTCCGGACCATGTTTCAAACGAATATTTTGAAGTTTGACACGTATCGTGGTGCCAAACCAAATATTTGACCTTGTAAACCGCGGGCTTCACTGTTTTCGATAGTATTTTTTTTTTTAATTTTCGTCAAAAAATTCATGTTCGTAACTAGAAATTAGATTAAGGCGAGTGAAACGCCTCGAGTTGCCGAAAACCGACTCGTTATACAGTTCCGGCGGTTCGATCGAGTTTGCGGGTGATAAATAACTTTTTTGCCAACTATGTATTATAGATAGTTAGTGTAGGTACTAAATTTTATTTTATTTTTTTTTTTTTTCTGGATTAAAAATTTAAATAATTTTAAATCGGGTTTTCGTTTCGGGCAATAATTATAAAAATATCATGTATAGCCTATAGCGACATTCAAATTATCTCATAATCACACCAATTTAAGATGAAATAAATGTATTATTTACATATTTTAACTCGCGCGCGTCCATTTATATTTATTACTACTATATAAATGCGGTTTCTCATTAATCTTGCGGTTGGACGTGGACGATAGATGCGATTTTAGGGAGGGGAAGGAGAGGAGTGTGATGTGAGATTGTTTCGAATAGCACACGTTCTCTAATCGATCGGTTACTGTTATTCTGTTCGTAAAAATATTCTACGACTCTTGTAATACGGTCGGTCGAAAACGGACCATAACGATATATTTTAAAATCGGAAACGAACGTTTTAGCGCTCAAAAACGCGAAATTGTGCGCAAATATTCCGTTAAATCATGCCGAGAGATACGGGCTGAAATATATGTAGCGCAGACGAATGCGACGAGATTTTAATATGCGAAAAACGTAGAAAATATTGCAACGAACGAATCGGGTGGTATGCCATCCCTATAAAACGCCCGTGAGCGGCAGAGCTCCGTCGCTATATTATACTATAGAGTCGAATTTCCCCTCCAAGTCGACTTGTCGCCGTTACGACATAATTTATTTATTTACAACTCAACACCTACATTTGTATTTGCTTGGGACCTATGTTCACTATATAGACATCCGTTGACAAAAATGTCACCCCCAGTTTTATTTTGGGTACACGGAGCTTTTGCGCTATCGGAATTATTGCAGCATCGCTTAAATGCGTCTGTCTACATTATGCAGGTATAGAACAACTCTAATAATTGCCGAGTTCGCGCGGATCCGGAGGGAGCGTCTATAAATGGGTTCGAAAAGTGGCCGGGCCAAAGGTAAATCAATCTCGATTCTTCGGGAAAGATTCAACGAAAAAACTGCGCAGTTGCGCAGGGTCGAAAAAATTCACGACTAAAAAAAAAAAAAAACAATAATAATTATATACGCGAGCTTCGTCGCAATATAATAATAACCGTTAACAATTACCGTCGTCGTCATTATTTCATTATTATAACGTATAATCGTTATTATTGATTTTTTGTGTTTTTTTTTTTATATACATACATTTTTTATACCCGCCGGCGATATCCGCGGGGGTATGTACGACGAGTACATCCCGTATATCCCGGGTGTGGGTACCTCCGAAATAATACGCACCCTCGGGGTACGTCGATCCGTAGTCGTCGTCGGTATGCGAGCGTACTGTAATATCTTTCGCGACCTCGCGGGGGACGCTGAAATTATCGGGAGAAAAAAATAAACGGGTATCAACTACGTTAAAAAAACGTACGTTTCGACCGTCTCCGGGCTATTATGATATTATGGGTATACGTGTTAATACTACACAATATACGGGCTTCTCGAGTTTTCAAGAGCCGTCGGAGGAACCCCTAATTTATCCGACCTAACAATAATTGCTTGTACACGTATGATACGCAGGACACGTATAAAACCTACCGGAGAACGCGCCGAGTCGTTTTTATTATTATTATTATTTTTTTTTTTTTTTTTTTTTTTTTTTTTTTTTTTTTTTACGACAAGACGATATCGACGGATAATAAAACAACCGTCGAGAAATTCGTTTTTTTTTTTTTTCCGTTTTTACTACCTAACCAATAATACATTTCAAAAATACACGTACACACATACCCTGATGCAGCGTGGCACGGGGAACAAGAGCGTGTGGGCATCACACGCGCCACTATTAAAATATTACGGCCGCGGCAAATCGAAAAACTCTCGTTTCCAACTCTCGGCCGTCGTCATTATCGAGACGATATACACGCGTTATTATAACAGCGATTATGTTATTATAATTATCGGTTTAAAATTATACACGTATACACGTATATACATATCCTCCTCCTCCCCCCCCCCCCCCCCCGTAAGTAAACCCATACCTATATAGGCGCGGTAGCTATTTCTCTCCGCCTTCCACCCTCCCCCCTACCCCCCCATCGGCGGCGGAGTTCGAATTACCGCCGAAGACTTCTCTCTCTTTCTCTGTCTGTCTGTCTGTCTCTCTCTCTCTCTGTCTGTTTGCGCCTCGGGTTTTTCTCCGAGTTTTTAAAAATCGTAATATTATCCGACACGCGCTAAAGACCGATACTCGTTCAATATTCAAAACGTGTACAATTCGATGTTATTCGGCATTCCGAACCAGTTCCGCGGGGCGTTACTATTTCCGCCGTGCACGAAAAGCCGGACGCACTTCGCGCCGCTCGTGTAGGTCCGCACCGTGGGCAGGCGGTCAATGTTGTGCACGTCAATAACAGGACGCACGGGGTAATATTATATGATCTACACCCGGTGTGCCGACGATAAATGCCGTCGATTTCCCGGCGAAAGGCGTTTCGGGAATCCCGAAAAAATTGTCCGTAGGGTTCGGTTAGGTTCCGAGAGTGACCGGGGGGGGGGGGTGCGGTCTCGTCCGGTTTCATTAATTCATAGACTCAACTAGGGAGGTGCTAGAAGGTTTTAGCGACCCCGAGTTTAAAATTAGCGCCCCCGAAAACCCCACGCAGCTTTTCCGTATAGTAACGACTTTAACCGTGCATTTCATAATTAATAGATAGCTCTCGTGAGCCATTGATGTGTCTGTTATTTTAGCACCTCCCAAGTTGGCGGTCTAGTTTTGCCAGTGCCCGTTATTAGCTTAGGGGGGGGCTGAGGTATACAATGTTTTTCTTTTAATAATATTAAACGGAACAATTAATTTTAACAATTCAAAATGATTGTATTATGTTGTAGCTTGCACGGCTGTATGAATATTTTGTTTCAACCGCGGTAAAAACTGCAATATTATGATTTATGACGATATAGTTTTATCGTCACTGTTGTTCGTCGAACGCCGGGTTTGATTGCTAGCAAATAATATTTATTGATGACGAGATGTGTATTTAAAATAAAACGCGCAATTTCGTATTTTTAAACAAAATGTGTATAATAATTTCGGCAAGGGAGATGTACGCTCTCAGAGCTCTTTATATACACTTGGATGAGGGCGATGCCCGTAAAAATTTTCGCTCCCGGCCAAAATTCTGATGTTACGCCACTGATTTCTATCGACGAAATCGGAGCACTTTCAACACGCCCCGTATAGTTAAACTGGTGACTTTTCTTCGCTCAGTCGTTATTTCCGAATTTTCACCCGCCCGACTTGTTGCCGCGTTACAATGTTTTATTTAATTTTTTTTTTGTTTTTGCCGACACAGACCAACGTGGGTCCGATTCTGTTGTGCATGAACTCATACAAAGACGTCGGCAATCCGATGACACTGACCAGCATGCGGGGCGCCGCGTTAGACTTCAAGTTGCACAAGGTGATTTTGGACGCGGTTCGACAACAGACCGAGTCAGGATATCCGCAAGCGATCATACTTTCCGGTAAGTGCTGATGCTTGCCGAATCATGTAGAATTACTAAAAACCATGTAAAAATCGACGAGTTTGGTTGTCGGTGTAACTTTTGACTTGACATTATTTTTTTGCGACGATGGTTACAGGTGTCAGCGGTTCCGGTAAGACGTACGCGTCAATGCTGTTGCTGAGACAGCTGTTTGACGTGGCCGGCGGCGGGCCCGAAACGGACGCGTTCAAACACTTGGCCGCCGCGTTTACCGTTTTGAGATCGTTGGGATCCGCCAAAACGTCTTCCAACTCGGAATCTAGTCGAATCGTAGGCATAATATTATTTTACAATAACCATTGTCGATTCCGAATGTATGCACCTATAACCTAACCTACATTAAAAAAAAAAAAAAAACAAAACGTTTTTTAACGCATTTACATTACTTAAACACGGATACTAGGGGGTGTCCAAACAACCAAAACACTCCCTGATTGTGTCACTGGACGAAACCACGGGGCAGGCAAATCAAGCCGTGACCCAACCTAATATCGACAGGAAAACAAACACTGACTTTACAGAATTCAAAATAAAAATCTTAATCTCCCCTTTTTTTTTTTTTTCCCCCCCAGGGTCATTTCATCGAAGTGCAAGTGACCGACGGCGCCCTGTACCGGACCAAGATACACTGTTATTTTTTGGACCAGACACGAGTGGTGCATCCGCTGGCCAACGAAAAGAACTATCATATATTCTATCAGATGTTGGCCGGTCTCACCCAAGAAGAAAGAGGTAATAATTTTTTATTCGCGGCCGCTCGTCCCTATACCACGCGCGCGCTTATCGTTTCGATCGCTTTGTCATAATATTTGTGTTTTTCTTTATCCCGCGTCCAGTGAAATTACATTTGGAAGGATACTCGCCCACGAATCTCCAATATCTCATGCACGGCGATACCAGGCAGGACGAGGCCGAGGACGTGGTGCGGTTTCAATCGTGGAAATCGTGTTTAGGTATGAGCGATGCGTACATTTCAGCCCCGGACGTCAATATATACCTAATGACATTTTTAAATAATATACGTAATAACCCTTCGGTGTGATTTTTCAAAAAGGTCTCCTCGGCATCCCGTTTATGGACGTGGTCAGAGTACTCGCCGCCGTGTTGCTTCTGGGCAACGTTAATTTCGTGGACAACGGATCCGGCGAAGTGGTGGCCAAAGGCGAAACGGAATTGGCGTCGGTCGCCCGGTTACTCGGCATCACGTTCCCGTCGCTCTTCCGTGGCATCACCACCAGAACGCATTCCGAGACCACCCGGAACAACACCCAACTGATAAAAACTACTTGCGACGCGAATATGGTGAGTTGTACGAATTATTACTGTATGCGTTATTACGACGGATTATCGGATTGTTTGTATTTTTCCCGACGTTCGTTATATTAATTTAGAGATAGGATTAATATTCTCTTATAATTCACAAAAAGGCGCTTGAAAAATTAAAAAAGCACCTAAAAACATTTGAAAATAGCAAAAACGATAGAGGGGTTTAAAAGTCACCCCCCCCCACACTTTTGGTTTAATCATATTACGAGTAAATTGCCTAGCACTACGAAAATGATTGACACAAAATAATTGTTTTAAATAAAATAGTACGTATTATAAAGAAAAGAAAAAAAATACTTTTTATTTATTATTTTTGTAATGTTAAAAAATTATGTTTATAAGTCAAATCTGTTAGAAGGGAGAGGACTTTTAAACCCTTCTATTCATTTTACATTTTTAAATATTTTGCAAGTACTTTTTTAATGCTTTTTTTTTTTGCGTTTTCAATTACTTTTTTCGGATTTTGAGAGCATATAAATCCGATCTATAACATATTATTATTTATTTTTGATGTGTGTGCGTTTTCAGGCGAATTCGATTCGAGATTCGCTGGCCAAAGCGTTGTACTGTCGGACCGTGGCCACGATAGTGCGCCGGGCCAACAGTCTGAAACGACTGGGTTCGACGCTCGGCACACTGAGCAGCGATTCCAACGATTCGGTTCACAACCAAGCCGAAGTGGCCAGTCAACACGCGTCCACCGTCGGCACGGCCGGTTCCAAATCCAGCAAGTCCATGGCCGCACTGAACAACGCGGTCAACATAGCGAGACACGCCACTGACGGGTCCATCGGCATCTTGGACATGTTTGGGTTCGAAGAGCCGAAGGTACCCCCGACCATATTTTACAGTATAACTCAATAATACAATTACAAATATTTTCTAGTGGCCGGGCATAACCGAATAGTGTTGTCTCGATTATATTTATGCGTCGTCAATTTATTTATCAATTTTATCGTGTTGACGGTTTCATAAGTATATTAATTAGTTCTATCTGAACCAGGAGCGTCATTTGAGGGATTCAGACTGTACTTTGGCAGCCCTATATTTTTAAATGGTTTTTTTTGGCCCGCATAAAATGTTACAATTGGGCCGTCGTTGATAAAATGTAAAATGCACACATTAATCGAACGACTATCAATGGCCGTCTCTACCTACCGGAGTCCGATTGTCTGTGATGTGACATAGGGAATTTTTACCACGGATAATTATTGTCGACTCTTAATTGTTATCATGGCTAAAAAATCAGACATGTCAGCGAGGTAACAGTGCGCGTCGAAACTCAAGTCGTAGTTTAGTATCAATGTTATTGTAAATGGCAACAAATTTGTAGTCTTTAAACAGTATTTTAATATTAAAATGTAAATTGAGACTACGAATATAAGCGAACTGAAAATTTTTAGAAAAATTGGCCTGATTTAAATATTTACATCATTATTGAAAAACTGAAATGATGAACGCCCCCGATTTGAATACCTTAAAATGGGACCACCGTTTAGATTAATACATTTTGGACATATTTGAAATACTTAGGTTATAATATTATATTGTAGTTTTTATTAGAATTTGCAAAATAATTTATGTACCTAGTGACTAGGTTCTAGTCTCTTCCAACCGCAGCAATTTTAAAATGTGTAAATAATTTCGAAAATCGGATTTTTAGAACGTTAAATCCTTTTTATTAGAATTCGGATTTTGCTCATCTGAATTTGAGGAAAATATTCGAATATAATCGATTATGAGAGAAAACTATTCGTATAGGTAGGAGTAGTTAATATTTGTTTATAGAAAAACTATTTGAATAGTTTCTAATCGGTTATGGGGAAACCTAATAGAATAAAATATTCAAAAGTTCTTCCGAACTATGGAAAACTAACGTCAGTAAATTATTCGGAAGTGCTAATTACTAATGTTTTCTAACCTCAATATTTATCGTTATTAATTATTAATTTCGAACTAATCATTTACAGCCCAGTCAACTGGAACACTTGTGTATCAACCTTTGCGCCGAGACAATGCAGCATTTCTACAATACTCACATATTCAAATCTAGCATCGAATCTTGTCGCGACGAAGGAATACATTGTGACGTTGAAATCGACTATGTCGACAACGTCCCGTGCATAGATCTCATATCTTCATTGGTAAGAACATTGGAGAAGGCTCCTTCCACTGGCTTACGTATTCAATTTACGTTATTTTTTTCGTTTTCATTGAAACATTGTTTATCCCGCAGAGAACCGGATTGTTGAGCATGTTGGACGTCGAATGTTCCGTCAACGGGTCGGTAGAGCTGTATCTGAGAAAAGTGAAATCCCAACACAGAAACAATCCAAGACTCTTCGAAACCAAATCGGTGGACCAGAGATCTTTCGGCATACAACATTTTTCTGGCAGGGTTATATACGACGCTTCGGATTTTCTCGGTAAAAATCAAAACCACAGTTATCTACCTAATTGACTCAACGTTAGATAAATGTGATCACAATCTGTACCTATCTATAATGCATATATTTCGTATGGGTCACTGCTGTAGGTCTGTGACTTTATTGAGTATAATCATTTATATGCGATTTCAGAAACCAACAAGGATGTGGTGCCTGACGATCTGGTGTCCGTTTTCCATAAACAGTCATGTTCTTTTGGTTTCGCCACGCATTTGTTTGGAAGCGAGCTAAAAGCGCTGTACAGTATAGAAACTGTACCAAGAGGAATAAAATTCCGAATATCTCCGACGTCTCATTCCGATCTGTAAGTAGGATATTATTATATTTACTCAAAAATATTCATAAAATTACATTTAGTTAATTTTATTCCGTTTCGACAGTTATAAACAAATGACGAAATATATTTGTTAACACTGTTATGTTACTTACTGGACAATCTGAACTTCTTCAAAGTATCTTCTTTCTCTCTTAGGCTTTTTATAGGTCTTTCAAGCCCATCACCGCAATAAAAACGCCTCCATTATTCCCTGTATTTTGCAGTTTCTTCTACATGCCTTACTCCCAATGTCCTCAAATCTTCAAAATATACACAACTCAATAACTACATGCATACTTTCAACGCAATATGACTGAAAGCCCAAATTCAAATAGTTTATAATTAACATTTATTTTTCTACATCGCGTTTCATTTTACAGATTAAACGGCAACGAACCCGTGTCGACGTTAACGCAAGACTTCCACACTCGACTGGATAATTTATTAAGATCTCTGGTACACGCCAGACCTCATTTTGTCCGTTGCATTAAAGCAAACGCCACAGAAACTCCGGACAAATTTGACCGAGCCGTTGTTATGCGACAAATACGCTCGTTACAAGTGTTGGAAACTGTGAATTTAATGGCAGGAGGTAAACAGACGTTAGAACTATAATAACAAATAATAAATAATTGTGTTTACAAAATGTGTATCAATTATTTAGGTTATCCCCATCGTATGCGGTATAAAGCTTTCAACCTCAGATACAAGATGTTGGCACCGTTTAACAGACTTTTACGGACTGACGATCGAGCGACTGAAGATTGCCATCTAATACTGCAATGTATCGAAGACAGAATAGACACAAAACAGAGTGAAGTGAGCATGAGTTGGGCATTCGGCAAAAGACACGTCTTCCTGAGGTAAGTAGTTATTATATCTACTATTATGGTAAACAGTAAAATATCGTAAACTTTTAATTCACTTGTACCTACTTGTAATTTTTTTATTTAGCGAGGGTGTAAGGCAACATCTAGAAAAACTTCGATGGCAGACTCATCACAATGCTGCTGTACTGATACAATGTACTTGGAGAAGTTGGAGGACCAGGAGGAAATGGCCTGGCACCAAACGAATTATGCAAATGCAACAAGTTTCCAACCCGATCGTACAATGTATGTGTGTTATAATGTATAGGACATTTAATTTGTCTACTATGAGTACAAATTTGAATTTAAGTGTATTCTAATGGTTATTCTTTACCCAACACAATTTCAAATTTCAATAATTAATCAGATAGTCTGGTTTTGAGCAGTTTTTAAGGTTCATTCTTTCAAGTACACCTGTACATTTAAATAATAATTAAAAATTTAAAAATATAAATAAAGTAAAAGAAATAAATATCCACACAACTTTTATAATTCTCTAGGCTTTGTTTTGTCTCTTTTTTTTCTGATAATTTATTTATTTGTTTTTAATATATACGTATATATTGTTATTTTTATTTATTTAAGTATTTTATTTTATCTATATTTTTTATTTTCCATTTTTTATTACCTATTAATCTAAAACAACTTTTGTTTTTTTTAAATAAGTATTGATCAAATTGATGTTGTAGAGATTAATTTATATATACGTAGATTATAAAATAAATGGGTATACACTGGATTTCTCGTTTATACATTTTCACTGATGAAATATAGTAAAATAGGTATTGTGTACATTTATTTGATAATTTATTTATTTTGTTTTGTTTAATTAGGTCTCAACAATAAATTGGGTATAAACGGTCGGAAAATGAGTAATATTAACTCAACTTCTGGAAGTCAAATACCTAACGCCGGAATAAATAACAGCGGCACAGCAACTTTGACAAGACCCAGACCTCAACCCATAACAGGAACACCTCCTCCAGATCAAATTGAAAAATTTGATCAGAAAATAATACAGACTTGTAATCTTTTTGGATTGAATTTGGTAAATAATAATTTTCAAATATATTATACAAGTAGTTAATAATTTGAAAAGTTATTATGTATTTGAATAGATTTTCGTTTTCCAAAATATGTAATATTATGTGTTACTTTTACTTACTAATCTTGATTATAGGCTTTTAAGATGACTATCTATTTAAAAATCAATGACGTCTTTAGGTTTTATAAAACAATTACTAACACAAAATGTTGTCACTATTTTTCAGGAAAGACCTCCACCGTTACCTCCAAGTCGTTCATATACAATATCAGGCAATACAAAAGTAGGGTATCCACAAAATCGTATCATGAAAAAATCGTTTCCAGGTAATACGATATTATCAATAGTAAAAGACCAATAAATTGTTTGGTTTTGTAAAAGGGATACTATATGAATATTTTGAATAATAATAATATAATTTTCAGAAGAAGGAAACTGTGATGTTACACTGATGAAAGGTGATACGGTCATTGTGGTAGGCACATCCAACCGGAGAGGACATCTTGTTGTCGAATACTGCAACCGTAGTCTGGATGTACCATTCCAATTTTTAGAATTGAAACCAAGACCCGTTGCTATTTAATACGTCCTTTGTTCCACATTCTTTGTTTCTTTTAAATTAAGAAATGATTATGGTATAATCAACGCTCAAATATGAAACTTATGATCAAACGTTAATTTTTATTCATCTAATGTGTACATTATCCATTAAGTTTCTAGTGTAGAAGATGGCTGTCTATAACGCCGAAAACTATGCTTTATTTGAATAACCGTTAAATAACTAATGTATAATCATTTGTGTTATAGAATTTTAGTACAAATTGATATTTTCCATTCCTGTATAATTTATATTTTTTGTAATTAGGACATTACGATTATTTTAAGTTTTAATTCTCTTTAAGATTTATTATTTTTTTTTTTTTTAAATTAACTACTATATGTAATAAATTATTATGTTTTATTGTTATTTTATTATTATTATCGTGCCAAAATTATTTTTATATAAATACTACAGAATACACATGATGACATTTTAAGTTATTTTATCAAAAATCTCGTTTAAGCCATGTCATGTGAACTTGAAACACGAAAGTTGAATCCAATGACTGACGTTGTATGTCGTAATAAAACTTGAGACTGAGATTTTTAAGTTTTTATTTTTTTTTTTAAATCTGAATCGTCAGACTTAATTTTTAGTAAAGTAAATTCATATGTCACATATTATCATTTTTTATTTTATTTTTTATCAATTTTTTAAAAATTGTTTCAATAATATTATATTTATTTTGAAATACAATTATACGATTACTGTTTGAAATTTTACCAAAAACAAATATGTTAAAACATGTACATTGCATTGGTTTTACTACTTTCATTAGCACAAAAATTACCAAAATGTCTAAGACTGGTAAAACTATTCCAATAACGATAGGGACTAGGGTATGACAAATAATTTAATCAAGTGAAATATTTATATAATTATAACATGAATAGGCAAGTGTTGAGTTTTCTGACACACTGTCGACATGTTGACATGGATTTTTCTTTTTGAAATTGTTATTTTTATTCCATAGAGAGATTAGATGAAATTTACCTGTTTATAGTACACTATCTACGATAAATATAATACACCTATTTATGATCAATTAAAACTTCAGTATGTAATTTTTTGGAAATGTTTTGTTTCATTTAGGTGCTAATGTAGCACAAAAGGTGTTAGAGGTTATGATATAGTATCCACATAATAATTTTTTTATTGTTATCCAGAATAAAAATAATATTGTAATAGGTACGAATATTGTTACTATTTTATCATTCCGATTTCCGATGATAAACTCGCCCATCGCGCGTCTCCGTCATATATCTATTTTTTAACTTTTCGCGGGAAAAATCAAAAATACAGAAAAGTTGACGGTAATATTATTTTCATTATTTTTTTGATTTTGTATTTGTGTTGTAAAATGTTTAGAAACAATCTCTCAGAATCTTAAAAAAAAAAACAGTACTATGTACCAATTTATTGTTGTTTAAAAAAAAAAAAAATACATCTACATCGAAATAATATTATTTTAGAACCTTTGATAAATCATCAAAAATCATCTAATAATTAAGTTATAAATATAAATGCTTTATTGAAAAAAATAATGAAACAAGTATGCCACCCAACTGATTTAAATTTTTTCAAAATACGTGTTATAACAATATATTATAATAAGCATAAAAAATTGTGTTTCAAAACAAGTTACAAAAATAATTTTTTATGAAGTAATGTAAAAAGAAATTCCGAGATCACGAAAGTGGTATTAAAGCCTTTTTGAAAAAAATCTAGTAATTCAGAACAAATTTCCATAGTCTCAGAATTATTAAAATTACAAATCGATTTTTATTTTAGTCTCTACAAAGAAATAACCAAACAGATATTAACACCGCTCTTGATAACGCATCATATTTTGTTTTGTAGCTGCGTTCACTCCATTGCCAATCGGCTATCACGGCACGCATAGGAGCGTACCGTCATTATCTACGTCACCAGTGTCAAACCCCCTCTGGCTACACCACTAAGTGTAATAACGTGTGTTTATATTATGAGTTATTTATAATTATTACATAACATCATAATTTTTAATAATATAATATATATGCGTATAATATGATGACGACGCTCGGCGTGCTGGTATGTCATTGGAAGTGTAATAGTACAGAATAATAGCAGGTAATAAATACTAATAAATAATATAATATTTTCGCACCTAAACTCTTCGTTCTACGTTTCTAGTATTTTTATTCGGGGGATTGAACAGCAAATTATACTACAGTACCATTATTTATAATTCTAAATAGTAAATAGTAAATGATATACACACAATTACCTATAGAGCAAACAAATAGACACGAAAATAATATTTTATCTTATCGATAAGAATAATTTATTCGTGGGTTGCTCAGTTTGCTGTATGTCCGTAAAAAATATAAATAAGAACGTTGCACGCTAGCGCTCCGCACGCGCGATTCGTGACGCTACGGGTTGCGTTGTAGTGGGAGGGGGGGGGACTCCGCCGAGTACGACGACGTTAGAATTCGCGATGCCGCTTGGAGCAGCACTTGATGGCATAAAATGTAAATTTTCACACTAAATCTGTTTCGTGCGGGAGAGAACCAAGAAGGCTACAGTTATAATTAGGCTATAAGTATAATTAAGAAACGAAATTATCGCAATATAAAAAGGAGAACTTTGACTGTGAAATGTCGTTTTTCATTTTTTTTCGATATCAGAACATCAAAAGAATTCATTTAAGTTTGAAAATTCATTATTTTTGTGTATTTCAAACTCGAAAAAATAAAAACAACATTTCACAGCGTAAGCTCTCCTTTTTATACTGTGATAATTTCGTTTCTTAATTATAACTGTAGTCTTCTCGTTTCTTTCTCGCGCGAAATAGTTATTACTAACAAATTTACTGAGGTACGACACCCTCTTAAGTGTGAAATATTTATATTGTTAAGATAATTGTATAGAAAGTTGTTGATTTTCTGACACGTTGTTGATTTTCTGACACGTTGTTGATCAATGATTTAAATGTATAATACAACAGAGTTTACTCATGAAGTACCTATTATAATTGTAAGTACTCTGTACCTGGTGCAATAGTACCTAATATATGATTTCAATGTTAGACTATATACTCGCAGGAGCCGATATTGATTACATATCAATATTTCTGAAGGTCAAATTTTGAACAAAAGTGAATGAATAAAAAATATACCCAATTTATAAACAAACGTATACAAAACATGGTATAGTGTATGTATATGTAGAATTTAAAATATGTTCAAATTTACTCAAATTATTGATAGAAACAAAAATATTGATACCAATAACAATATTAGTTAATCCATCTAATAATTATTTAACAAGTACCTATGTATCTATATCTATATGTTAGGCACCTATGATGATTATAAATGCAATTAAAATTAATTTTTCGGAATTTCAATAAATTTCTGTTTTGCCGTAATTAAAAGAAAATACCCACGTGTAAAATTGCTGATCATAGAAAAAAACGTTATACAAGGTGTTCTACATTGTTATCCGAATACTAATAATTCTGTCAATGTTCATTTTTTGTTTGAAATTTTTTTTTCATTCACGTTTTGTATCAGAGGCACACAAATTTAGAGAAAAATATATTTTTTATTTGCATCTCTTATTCACTGAACAAAATTGCTATTTTTCACTTTTTATCATTTTCAAAATGGGCAATTTGTAAAATATATTATGTATTCTAAATATTTTAATGTACCCTAGTTACAAATTCTATCAATAGTTTCTTAGTAATAGCCGTTTTAATTTCTAAAAAATTGGCGTGAAAACACTTGATTTTCAGTATAGTAACGTAGAAATTGGCTATATTGGATATTTTAAAAAGTGAAAAAATGTAAAGCTATATTTTTTCGGTGATCAAGGAATGAAAAAAAAAATTTAATTTTTCGCTACATTTGTGTTCTCTTCAAGCAAAACCCGATTGAAAAATGAAATGTTTAAAAAAAAATGAATTTTGACAGTAACTAACATTAGGATGAGATGGATAGGACACTGTTAGACACTCTGTATGTCATACTCGGGTGTATTTTTATAAGTTAATGACGTGTCTATTGGTAATAACTAATGAGTAGGTAGGTACACTTGGACATTATACCCGAAACCGTGCAGGTGTAGATATTATTACCGTCGGTTATATTATTATAACATAGAATATTTGAATATATTATAATAATGAATTTATTAGGTATATAAGTAATTATTCCATTGTAAACATAAATAGCATAGTGGAAAAATATACGGTGTACAGTACAAATAGTATGACCCTACGTACCCTTGTTCGTACGGCCGAAAAACTATTTCGTTTACGTAATAAATAAAAACATGCGAAAATATATTGTCTGGGTTTGAGGTGAAAAATTTGCATTTTTTTTTTATAAATATTAAAATTGCCTATAAGCAATTCCTTAAAAAATACCGGGCGTTTGAATTTAAATTTGTTCTTGTCAAACTATATACCTACTCGGTATTAGACTTTTTGTTCGTTTTTACGATGGGTATTTATGTGAAAAATAACAATGTTTATGAAATTTAACTTAACCTAGCATTAATCAAATCTTCAAAATGTGAAACGTAGGATGCAGCGTGATTGGATTAAGTGGAGGGAAGCGTCAAGTGTTTTATGTGACCAAGGTAATTTCTACAAGAGTATGATAAGACCGACTATGTTGTATGGGTCGGAGTGTTGGGTGATAGACAAAAAAATAGAACAGAGAATGAGTGTAGCAGAGATTAAAATGCTTAAGTGGATGAGTTGAGTGACGAGAAAAGATAGTGTAAGTAATGAGCAGGGTTCGGGACTTATAGCACATATAATCATCAAAATAAGCACTGAAAAAAACAAACAGAAATATAAAAATACACATCATAATAAAACCAATACATTCTTCACTTCACCCGGAATCTAAAACAGAAATTAACTTAATTGTTTAAGTTTTTGTTAGTGGTACGGGTCATAATTAAGCAGAGATAGACAAAAAACCAAAACTAATTAGAAAAACTAGAAAAAGCAATTTTTTTTAAAAATAATCGAAATAAGTTTTAAAAAGTCACTTTCAATTTTCATATTTGAGATCATTGTAACATGACATAAGTTTCCATGACACTTTGCTAGATTTTATGTTGAGCCAAAAAAATTAGTATAAATGCTTGGAGTCTCAAACCCTGGTAATGAGAATATAAGAGGTAGCTCAGATATGACTTGGATAGTGGATAAAAAGAGAAAAAACTGAAATGGTTGGATTACTTATGAAGAAAGATTAATCGGAACCAGTAAGAATTGCAATCAAAATAAACGTAGGAGAAAAGTGGACCAAAAAGAAGGTGGTTGTCCAATCACCTCCGTTTTGATTGAGTATGATATAAGGATAGCAGTAGTATGCTACGACAATATGCGGGATCGAGTCAAGCGAAAATTTAAGACAAAGGTGGCCGACCCCAAGTAGTTTGGATAAAGGCGAAGGAGAAGAAGAATTATGTCAGGGGTGGCCAGTAGGATTTTTGTTTAATGTGGCGTAATCTGATGCAATTCAAAACAAAATATATACCAACTGTATTAGTAATTATTTTTATAAACAAGATGTATATTATCTAAGATAATCAGTAACATTGTTTAAAAACACCCAAGTCCCAAATATAAACCTAAACCTTTGGATAAAGCCAAAGGGAAATGTTAAAACGTAACCAGTGTTTCCAACAGTTTTACAGGTGTATACAATAACTTCCTGTGCCTTAAAGAGAGTATTTTATAGATTATTCTTTCTTATGGTTTACGCTGTTTCTAGGGAAATAGATATCAATTATACAAAAATTAAATTATAATATTATATACTATAGATATGATATAAACGGTCAATGATAATGATTGCTATAAATATTTCATGACAATTTTTTTCTTTTTTTTAACTATTTAAGAGTTTTATACACGCAATTAACAATTTTGAGATTATACGACTTATGTATTATATGATCCTATAGAAACAACATTAGACTTAACCTGGATACCTCAACACAGTGTGCCGCCGAGTCGT